AAGTTATAGGTTTTTTTTTCTTTTATAATTTTTAAAAGCTTTATAATAAAATTTATTAAAAACTTCTCCTATAGCTATATTAGTATAGGTAATATTATTAATTCCTTATAAAATTTATAATAATAAAGCTTTATTATTTAATATATATAGTAAATATTAATATATTTTTTTAAATTTTTTTTTATATTTTACTAAAAATAAGTTTAGGTTATTTATATATAGCTTTTGCTAATACTTAAGTAGCTAGCTATTTTATTATTATAAAATAAAGTTAATATCTCTTACCTTATACTATAAGGTATAAAAATTTTAGTTTTATATTAAAGAAGATATTTTTTATTTATACTTTATTTACTATAAGTCCTCCTTAGGGCTTTATATTTAATTATTAACTCTTATACTTAGGTATTTTTTTACTATATAATAAATAGTACTTTTTATAAGGTTTTAGGTAATTTCTTTAATATTATAATAATACTTTTATATATTATTTACGTAAATCTAGCTAGCTTATAAGTTATATATTAAAAATAAGGCTTATTTCTTAATAAGTTTTTTCTAGCTTAAGGGGTTAAGTTAAAGTATAACCTTAAGTTTAAGTAGTTATTTTATATTATTAATTTAGGGCAGGGTTTTTTTTTTTATATTTTTTTATTTTTTAAATATAATTTAATATAAAATTTATTTATAAAGGGTATAAAATATCTAAGAGATAATTACTTTTTATTTTATAATTAATATAAGTTTACTTAATAAAATAGCTTATTAGTAGAATTAGCCTTACTTAGTTTATATATAATTTTAAAGTTATATAAGGCTAGCTTTTATAACTATAATATTTACTTATTTAAAAGTTTTTTTTTTTTAATAAAGAAATTATAATTTAAATAATTAATAATAACTTTTACTTTATTTTAAGTATATATAAAATAATATTTTTAAGTTTTATATACTTTTATAATAGTAAGTATTTTAGTATTAAGGGTTTAATAATATACCTTTACTTTATTAAGCTTTTATAAAAAATAAATAATAAGGTATTAGGCTTTATTTATAAATTAGAATAGTATAGTATTAATTATATATTTTAAAGTATTTATTTTAATATAAATTAATATATTAAGGTTATAGTAGTAGAGTATAAGTTTTTATTAAAAAGTATTAATAAATTTCTTAAATATTACTAACCCTTATTCTTTTAATATAATATTTCCCTTAGCCTTTTTTTTTATTAAGTTAGTTAAAGGTATTATAATTTTACTATAGTTTTTTATAAATTTTTAATAAAAATTAGTAAAGTTAATAAAAGTAAGAATATTAGTAATAGTATATAAAATAAACTAATTAATAATTATTTTTATATATTTTTACTTTATTTTAATTCCTTTAGGGGTTATTATAAACCTAAAATAAAAGACTTTTATTATATTAAATTTATACTTCTTAAGGTTAATAAATATCTTATATTACTTTAACTTATTTAATATTTTCTAAATATATTATATATACTTAGCAGGGTTTTTATTATAAATTAAAATATTATTTAAATAAATTATATAAATATAATTTATTAAGCCCTTAAGTATTTTATTAATATACTTTTAAAAAGTAGCAGGGGCGTTAATTAATTTAAAAAGTATTACCTAAAACTTATATAACTTATATTTATACTTAAAAGCTATTTTTTTCTTATTTCCTTTATAAACTTTTATATAATAATATATATTTTTTATATTTAGCTTAAAGTAAATTTTTATACCTTAGAGTTAATTAAGAATTTTATAAATTAGGGGTAGTAGTATATAATTCTTATATATTACTTTATTTAATATATAATAGTTTATATAAAAATATAGTTTATTTTTTTTTTTTAAAATAAATAATACTAGCACGCCTTAAGAATTTATAAACTAATATATTTAGCTTTACTATAATACTTATTTAATATATTTTTATAATACCTTTAGCTTTTTTTCTACTAGGGAATAAATAAGTCTTTAAAAAGGCTTTACTTCTAGCTTTAAGTTTATTATATATATTAATTTTTATAAAAGTATTAGCTTTATTACTAATTTTAAGTTAAATATTTTTACTTTATTTATATATTTTATAAATAAAAGCTTTATAGCTTTTTTTTAGGATAAGGTTATAGGAGTATTTTAATTTATAATAGCGCTAATATTAAAATATATAATAATTAGCCTAACTTAAGCTTCTTTTACTTAAATATATACTTACTACTTAAAAATAGCTATTATTAAGGTTTTTATTAATATTAAGTATTAAAAGAAATTATTTTTAATAATAATAATAAAATTTATTTAATTATATTATAGTTTTTTTAAAATAATATTATTAAGTATTTTTACTATTATAAAGCTTATAAATATTTATTTTTTAACTTTTTAGTTATTTTTTATTCTTAAGAGCTAAAGAGTATATTTATATATTTTACCTAAGTTTTTATATATTAAAATAATTACTAAGTTATTATTAAATATTATTAAAGTATTATTTACTAAGTATTTATTTAATATATTAATATTATTTTTAGTATTAAAAATAATAGTTTTTAATTTTTATATTCCTTTTACTTATACTTATACTTTTTTTTTTATTATAAAGGATATAATAAATAGTAGCTTAAATAAGTAAAATTTATTTTCCTAGGCTTTTCTTAAGGTAATTAGTTTAAGATTTAAGCTTTATATTAAATTAGCTAAAATACTTACTTAAGGGTTATTATAATACTTTATAATATATTTTTTATTTTTATAATATAAGTAATTTAGCTTTTTATAATTTATAAAATAATACTTAAGAGTTTTATATTTATAATATATAATACTTAATAAAAATTTATACTTTTTTACTTAAAAATAGCTAGGGAATTATTAACTAAGATATTATTTTTTATTTAATTTAAAAATTATTTTAGTATAATTAAAACCTTTTTTCTTTTATATAGGGTATAAAAAGTAAGCTTACTTTTTCTAAAATAAGTAATATTTTTTTTTTTTATTTATCTCTTTTACTAAAGTTATTAATAATTAACTTTACTTTAAAGTATTTTTTATAAAAATTTTATTATATAGTAAAAAGTTTTTTATAAAAAATATACTTTTTTATTTTTAAAAGTATTTTTTAAAAAAAAATTAAGATTTTATAATTATTATTTATATAATATAGGATTTTATTATTAGCCTTTTTAAATTATTTAATAAACTTTTTTATAATTTTACTTTTCTTTTAATATATAATATTTAGTACTTTTTTTTTATTAATAATATAGGATTAAGTATTTTTAACTTAGTTTTTATATTACTTTAAATATTATATATAAGTAATATTATTATAATTTTATTAAAGTTTTTTTTTAAAATAATTAATTTAATATTATTAAGCTTCTTTTTTAAAATAAAAGCTTATTATAAAGATTTTATATACTTTATTAATAATTTTTTTAAATATAAATAAAATATTAAGTTTAAAAATATAATTTTAATATTCTTTTTAAGTTTTTTTTTTAAATATAGGCTTTAGAAAATATAACTTTTAATTTTTTATATAATTTATTAGCTTTTTTATAAGTTTTTTCTTAAGAGTTATAATAAATAATTTAAAAAAAAGCTTTTTTTATAAAAAAAATATTTTAAATTTTTTATTTTAAAAATTAGTAAAATTTACTAAATATTAAGTAAGTTTTTTTTTTTATTTTCCCTTATAATAAAAATTATAAAATTAAATAACTTATTCTTAATTAAAAAAGTATATTATTCCTTAAAAAAGGCTAAGGAATTTAAAATAATAAATTAAGGGTTATACTAAGTATTAGAAATTAAAGTATTAGTTTAAAAAGTAAATTTTTCTTTAAAGGGTATTATATAAAGTATAAGGCTTTATTATATATTTTTAAAATATAACTTACTTTTTACTTATTTTTAAGTAGTAGCCTTTATTATTTTTACTTTAATAATCTCTTACCTTTTAAAAAAAAATAAACTTATTAAAAATAGTAATATATAAGAAAGTAATAAAGTTAAGGAGAGGTTTTAGTTATTATAAAGGGATAAAGCAGCTAAGAGGTATATAATAACTATATTTATCTTTAACCTTCTTTAAAACTAAGGGGATTTATGCTTTTTTATATAGTAAATCCTAGCTGTAATTAGCCTTTAAGCAGTAACTTTAGTAGTATTCGCTGGCTCTGTGGCTCTATTATGCCTCTTCCTTCCTTGGGCCCCTGATATAAACCCTGTTACAATAAGAAGTTTAACAAGGTCTTGAAGCAAATCTAAAGAGAAGGATATTAATGAGTCTTTGACTTGCTTTATAATAGATTAGTAGTCAAGATTGAGAACTAAGCCAGACTGAGGGTGGTTGTTCTATTATAAGAAGGAACCCTTTTTCGTAAATGGAGGAGTGGATCACACTGGTTATTTACCTCAATATGACCACCAGCTGTACCGGCAGTTTTCGCCTTGTTCCAAGGGGGACACAGTCGCGGCAGCTGTATTAAATAAGCCTTCTTTGAATAAGCCTTTTTTGTAAATAAATAAGGGATGTACTGTTGAATTGAGTTGTTTTTGTTATTATAATTACATAAGCTAGGTTGTTATATACCCCCATCTATAACACCGAAGGCGCCCGCAGGTATACTGATTGGCCCATCACATATCCTCAAGTTCTTCAATTTTATCATTAGCTTACTATGGGTCGGGATTTACTACTTATCTGATCTGCTTTCCTATCTACTACTATAAAAACGTGCTATGCTGCCAATTGTTGTGACAAACAAATTTTATCTTGTGCTGTTTATCGCTGGCTTTAGAGATTCACACTTGAAGAATACATCATGCCTGCTGTAACAACGGATAATTATGTGCTGGGGCGGGACCTGCATGGCTCAATAAGGTATATAATAACTCTATTGGCAGCGTAAACTAACCGCAGCCACTAATACAATGCCTAGATTAGAAGCCCAGCACCTCCTGTTTAAAATGCACAATGGTTATGCGTTGAACCCAAAAATACCTATTTCTCCAGATATGAAAATTGCCGAAATAGGTACAGGAACAGGGTGAGTCGTATGCTCTCTATTCAAGCACGATTCCACGAGACATTTGCTAATAACTAGATCTGTTAAAGAATCTGGCTTCAAGACATAGCATCAGAACTGCCAGAAACTGTCCAGCTTCATGGCTACGATGTTTCCGCAAACCAATTTCCCCCTGCATCACTTTGCCCACCAAACCTGACATTTGCTACACTTGATGCATTTGGAGATGTTCCTGCACATCTTGTTGAGACATATGATGTCGTCCATTTGAGATTTTGGTGCGCCATAATTAGGGGCAACGACCCTGGTGCGCTTATCCGTCATGCTGCAAGGCTACTGAGTGAGTTTTCCATTCATTTTTTGTGAGTTCTAGTACTTAATTTTGCAGAGCCCGGGGGATACTTGCAGTGGGAGGACGCAGATATGGGAAAGCCAGTTGTGCGAGGGGACGAGGCAGAGGCCTTTCATAAACTTGGCATGTCGGTTCTCCAGACCTTTAACGTCTTGTTAGAGTGAGTTACTATATCCAGCACAATCACATTTTCGCTACAGAAACAATGCTAATTGCATACTTGTGATTTCTTAGCTGGATTGGAGACATTCCAAATCTCGTCGTGGACGACGGATTAACAGTTGTACATAGCGCAACTAGTTCTTTCCACTCTACCTTGGTACCCCTTGCTATCAGGACGTATTTGGCTGGTTGGGCTGAGCTTTTCCAGTTAGTAGGCAAGACCAAAGATCCATCCCTTCCAACCGCCAGTGAGTGCCAGAAGGTTTTATTCGCACTAGACGCGGGCGTCAAAACTGGGGCACTGTACTACTGGTTGCCGGTGAATCTGCTCGCTCGGAAGCCCGGTACAGAGTAGCTAGCTAAAGTCAAAAGAAGGATGTCAATAGGAGATTTCGAGAGTGAGATTCATGAATAGAGAGGTATCTAGTTATGAGACGCTTAGCAGCTTAAGGCTGTATAAACTATTCATCAATAGGGTTCCACGAAGCTGTTGAGATGTTGTGCCTTAGAAACGCCTTAAACATGAATGTTGTGCACAGTAACTCTCTTGTTTGGCCTTTGGCGTATTGGTCCTGACATGAGCCGCGGGGTTTGCAAAAAAGAATCCCCCACTTGGTGCGGGGAACCCTGCTAAGTAGCTAACCTGAGAAACCTGTTATTATGCGTATCGAACTTATTAATTTGAACACACCACTAAGTGCCGATGTGTTCTGATCAATTTAGCAAAAGCATCTAAAAAGTGTTAGGGAGGTATGTAGGTGCTACAATAACTGGATTGTAATGCTATCTCTGAGACAATAGCTGTCTATCACTCTCTTGTTGCCCAAGATGATAGGCACAGATACCACAGCGAGAGAAGATGTCCACCATTGCTTTGCCTGCTCTCAGATCCTTGTAAGCAAGCAGTCACATTAACGGGAAATGATACACTAGCCTGATTGGTGCAGTGCCTCTAACGCCGCCATTGTCCGTATTCCTTTGCAAAAGGTTACCTTGATATCCCAGATTACCTATATACAACTGTCAACCTAGGTATTTGGGGAACGGTTGAGATTGAAGTTGCCCTAACTACTTCATCTCTTGCAACACTTAAACCTCTGTTAAATCGGATGCGAATTTTCGGTACTTTGTCCTTATCTAAGAGACTTGGCTCTGGTCCTCATAGTAGGATCAACAATTCGGCGCTTGGACGGAGCGTGACTGTTACCGAATAAGTCAATGTTTACTCTGGACTCTGGACTACCCGAGAATCGTGGCGAGGTAAGTGGAGGCGTAGAGGATCTATGGATGTGGAATTGGCTGATCAAAATAAAGAAGTCTACATCCCTTATTGAAATCAAGACTCTGATATTGAGATGAGCCGCCGTACAGGATATTACCGTACCGATCAATATGTATTGCACAAACTACTTTGATACAGTCTTGGTATACCGTGATAGTATAACTAAAAAAAGAAGAGAAAGTCCTAAATACTACCCCTGCTCTGCCGAATGACGATTTGAGGAAACGACGCGCATAAAGATGTTAAGCAGGATAAGTATATTACTCTTATTATTTCCTCGCGGCAAGTAGCCCATGGACGTGTCCTTAAGGTGGGGGTTTACCTGTAGGAATAATCGCCATTTAGGCCATACAAAGACAGAGCGTTTTAGTCTGGAAATATTAAATATTGCATTCTTTAATATATGTCGCCTAACTAACTCGTATCAGAAGGGCCCATCACAATATTAAATCTTGGGTCGTATATTGATTTCGATGCCATCTCCAATAAAAATGGAGCAACTTCCCCCTTCTCTGGACATGCTCTACGCGCTTCAGCCATCCCGGTGAAGGCCAGCCCATGAATTTTAAACGCTTCTGGTTGCCCCTCCCAGTACTATGAGCGAGTTTTGATTATCACACTGGCCTTCCATGCGCCATTTGAGCGCAGAACACACATAGGTTTGGGTAGGGAACGACGATCAATACGTACTGCTTCAGTAGCCATGCAGAGCACTAGGGCCATAGCGGCATCTGTTGGGTAACTTTGCATATTGATGACCTGTTTGATTTTCCGTAGGCATAACAGAAGATAATGTATCATCCGCTCGTGATATTTTTCAGCTTCTGCAGCATGGTTTGAAATAAGACTGTATCTTCGGGCCGACACATACATAATAGCTGTAAACAGGCTTTTGTCTGTCATGGCAATAGGGATAAAAAGTGACCTCATGCTTCTTTGGAAAGCTTGTTGCGCTTCTTCCGTGATGCATTCAGTCCAAGCGTTCGGAATTACCCATTCTAAGACTATGGAGCAAGTTAGGATATCAAAAGGGGACAGGTTTAATAATGTTGCGTACAGAAATTGAACAAGAAGAATTCATCCTTGGAGAGAGGCCAGGGGAAGCAAATACCGCAGGCGTCCTTACTGACATCGCTAATACGAGCCCACAGCTGTTGATTGACGCCGGTCCGGCTCGCATGATACAGCGCCAGCTTCTCAGTAAGAGCTCGCCGGCGGCGAGCGTGAGACTCCTTGGATACATGCGATCTGATCTGACTTAGCGCCTGCACGTTGTTCATATCTTCTGGCAGAGTGGCAGTGATGAAGTGCAGTGCTGGTTGTTGCGCAACAACAATCCGAGGGAGCTTGGCATCGAGTCTTCCCTGTCCCGGCAGTTGCGAAGGCCCTTTTCCAGTGGGTTCTGTGGTCTTCATTCCTGGTGATACCTCTGTCTTTGGACCCATTGCTATGCAGGAGAGAATATTCGCGGCATCAGTGAATCTGCCACGAATGTGGTCTATGAAGCATAGAGTTTTGTATTAGGGAGACGGAGCCAGGGAAGCATTTCGAGCTTATGGAGCACGTGAATCGGAATTACCCGCACCACGCCCCATTTCAGCCCTGGGGCATAAGCAGCTCCAAATGCCTAATTTGGTATAGTCGCGTCGTCGAAACATGCCCAGCCCTGGATCGCAAAACTTGTCAAGATTAGACATGGCGAGTAAGCAGCTCCACTATCCCAACTTGGAAATCAGACCAGGCAGGACGAGCAGTCGTAGTGATATCGAAAGCCTCATCCTTGATATGTAACTGATCCATGGATATAAATCTGGCCTTTTCTCTCTGTAGAGTTGGCAACATTTCCGTAAATGAAATCTGGTGCGTATATACCAACAGATATCTCGCAGTTTCGAAGGGGTACATGATTTACACTCCATCATGGCATCAAGCAGCCAGCGCAAAACAGTACTCATTACAGGGTATATATATTTGTGATATAGAACTTCTTGGCCATATTTCTAACACAATCTCTCCCCTAGATGTTCAAGTGGAATCGGTGAAGCGTTAGCGAGAGAATTCCAAGTCAAAGGTATCTTCTCAATCCCAAGATACAAGCTGATGATCAGTGAAAAGGAAAAAAAAAAAATTGCTGACGCATTCTTCCCTTCTCTTTCCGGCTTTATAGGCTATTATGTTGTCGCTACTGCTCGCAAGGTGGACGCCATTTCTCACCTTAAGAAGGTGGGGATGACTACAATATCTCTTGATGTAACTAAACCAGAGAGTATCGCGGCAATGAAGGTACAAGTAGAGAAACTCTGTGATGGGAAGCTAGACGTCTTGGTCAATAACGCGTAAGTGGGATTAATTTTGGTTCATCTTATTACTGTTTGAGCTTGGACATTTAACAAATATATCAAGGGGAATTCTTACCCGTGGCGCATTGGCCGATGTCTCACTAGAGCACGTCTACTCTATTTTTAACACGAACGTCTTCGGCCTCATGGCTGTTGTGTCCAGTCTCCTGCCGCTTCTCATTGCAACTAAAGGCACGATTGTCAATATTTCATCGGCGTCATCTGTAACGCCATTTCCTTTCAAAGGTCCTTATGCAATGACCAAGGCAGCACTGAACTCATATGGTCGTACTCTCGCAATAGAGCTTTCCCCTTTCGACGTGCATGTCTTGACGTGTCCAACCGGCTATATAGAGAGCAAACTAGAAGCCAACGGGACAGATCAAGTACCGGAAAATAGTTTGTACAAAGCTATGGCTGGGAAGATGGAGCTGGGGGTTCCGGAAAAGCAGATGGAAGGGGCGGGGTATGCAGAGCTGGTGGTGAGCGAAGTGGAAAAGGGGCGAGGCTGGGGTTTTGGCCCTTGGAGATTTGGAGCAATGAGAGAGTGGCTTTGGGTGGGAACAGGAGCATCTAAGGGCTATTGGGCAAGTATGATGGGGGAGACATTTTTACAGCGGGGGTTCAAAGGAATAATCAACTGGGATGAGGTTACCAGGGTTGTCAGAAAGGACAACGGCTTGGAGTGAAAGGGACATGGCCCTAAATGCTCATAATATATTCATATAGTTCAATATTACAGGCTTATCGTATGCTCTCGGCCGGTTTCCCCTTCCAGCTGTCTATAGCTTGTGGTTAATTGCTGACAGTTAGAGCACGTTCTGCTCCCCCCATCTATCCGGTATTTCACCTGCGTCATCTCCCACATCTCTCATTAAGGTATCAAAACGGGCCATATCAACGCTTTGGTAGACCCAGTCATCAGCCCCATTGGTAAATAGGAGATCTTCCTCTTGTTGTAGAAAGCCCTCTGTTATACTGATTTCTTGTGTAGCATTATTGTAATCCCCGGCAGAGGGAGCCAATACTGAGGGCTTTCCTACTCGAACATCTGTATCTGTTTGTCGGCTATTGTTGCTGTTTCTATTGACTGGAGTGTTACTCCAAGCCTTTAAAACTTCGACGGTGTCATCGGAAAAATCTGTTTGGGAAGCTTGTATCTGGCCTTGATCAACTCTATCTGCGAGGTGCGTTTGCGCTGTAGGCGTCTCCTTGGAGATGATGCCTCCATGAGCGATCTTAACGGTACCAAAATATGGTATGTAGACGCTCACAACGCTGGCCATTTCTTCATTTGCTTCACCCGCTGGATCTTCAACAGTCGCTGGTAACCGCACAGTTACGCTGTCCACACTTCTTCTATGGCCTCCGGCTGCCTCGGCCTCAATAGACAGCAGTCGTCGGAGTAGCTCTGCGCTCCGTGCTCCTAGCGCATCCTCGTTTCTTCGGCTGACTTCCTCCATACTCTCCTGTACCTGTTCTATCATCGCACGGTCCCCGGGACGTTGGTGCGTCAGCAAGTTCTCTGACCTTGCTGCCTGCTGCAGCTGCGCGCGTGATGAAGACATGGAAGCTTGACGGTGCCCGTCAAGATGTGCTATCAAAAGTGTCATAGCCGCCATCAAGGAGAGGAAATCCAGTGTCCGGCACCAAAAAGCAATACGGTCGGAGCTTCGGAATGTTATAAAGCGCAAGAGAACCTCTCGGGAGGCGTTGACGCAGGTAATCCGTGAGTATTGGTAGTCGCGTCCGTTGATTGAGGAGCGGAGCATGTAGGGAAGATGGAGCTGGTTGAGAAGAGTGTAGTGGAATAGCTGATGGAATAGCCGCCGCATATCCCAGAAAAGCGTCTCAGGGTCGTCCAAGGTGGTTGCCAGATTTGAGTGAAGCCACCACCTTTTAGGCAAATCTTCAGCCGCTTTCTGTAACTCTTCGTCTAATTCTAGCATTAATGCAAAATCGTGGGAGCTTGGGTCGGACTGGTTGCGCTGGAGGATACGAGATGCGATAACGCAGTGCATGCGATCAAGACGCCCCATGGGTGTATCGTTTTCGAGCATATCCTTGGAAGCCATGCTTTGATCGACAGTACTCTGAGGTAGACCCAGCATGAGACAAAGATGTCGTTCCGCAAATACTATACGAAACCATATAAACTTTGGATGAACTTTCTTTTCTGAGTTCAAAAGCTTACACCGCCGCGGTGGGCTCATGGAGGAGCGATGTAGCCCCATCAATTGCGCAATGGTCATGGCCCTCCGAATTGCAACCAAGCCTTTGCGCAGATTTCCGCCATTTGTATACCACAAACTCTCCAACATCACACACTCCAGCCCTTCAATGCTGCTGATAAGACTTTCGTTCATGGTTACGAGGCTGATAGCGGTGCTGAACAGGCGGCTCATCATCTGACGCGGAGGTTCTGATAATCCTGTAATGTTGCTATGAAGATCCGGATGGAGATGTTGTAAGAAGGTAGCGATCCTAAGCATGTACAACCCTATCAGAACAGGGTGGGCATTTGATCCCGGCCGCTCAAGTAGGCTATCTAACTGCTGAGAGTCGCTCCGGTCAAGATCATTGTACGGGACAGTCAACATTTGATAAAAACGAGAAGACAAGTCACCTCGCGCTTTGGCGATTATCTCGATGTCTTGTGGTGTAGGTAAAGATTCATATAGGACGCTGGATAATGCCAGGTGTTTTTCTATTCCAATGGAATGATTTTCATCAGGTATTCGATGCAAAGGTCTGCTGCTGCCATCGCAGTCCAAGATTTCGTATTGAGCGGTCTCATCGTGCTGTCAAAGTAAGTAAGCAGGCTTTCTGGAACGCCTTCTAAGCGTTGGACACGTACATTCAAATGTTCATACCAACTATGCAATTGCGAAAGCACAGGGCTGTTGGTAGTAGGGCTAATAATGTCATCACGAGACTTTCCATTGTCTTGTGTCGTGGTAGACCCGGGGCAAGGATCTGAGGTACTGGAGGCTTTGTTGAGTAACTGCTCAACAAGTGCTTCAACTCTCACGACTCGGTCTCCCATCTGAAGGCTACGGTCTAAAGGTGTTGAGATCTGCTCGGGGAACTGCTGGTCAACACATTTAGCACCACGTCGCTTACAGCTGATGCAGGCGGTGTTTGCCGGCGACCCGAATACGCATTTCATCTTCCGTCGCCGGCACTCCCAGCAGCTCCTCGTCCCTTTTCGTACTTTTCTCCTCTTTGGTTGAGAACCGCCATTGCCTTCATGTCCCTCGCCGCGTGACGCATGTGGCGACCCAGACAGCTTGATTGACGCGGCATCCATGCGAGGAACGTTATCCTGCACTGGCACCTAAAGCGCGGTTCTGATGGCAGAGCAAGATGCCGTTCGATACGGAAACGAGACACCCCTGACCGACGGACTTGAGAGCAGAGACGTTTCGATGTACGCGTCGGATAAGCGGTGCGACAGCTGAGGATGCAGCCGGATTACGTACATGAGAGACGCCGATTACTACGCGGGGCAGAGCAGCGCGAAGGCAAAGGTGAAATAGTGGACCTTAGGGTTGCCTACTCGTGGCCCGTCAGACCTGTACCCGTTGGATATTATAGCTCCTAGTGCCTGTTTCCTCTGGGACCTCTTCAAAGTTGAGCAAAGGCGACGGCTGACTGGCAAGGCCTTTAAGCAGCTTCAAAAGATGCGGAAACTCAACTTTGCTAATACCCATGGATGTTCCACTATTGCAAGGGCCGTTGTGGACGAGGGAATATTAGGGCATGCTTTTACTTTGGCGCGTATCTTGTTTCGACCGAAAGCTCGGTGGACGGGCTGAGGCATGACGTTAAACCACCCCACTTGTCCTTCTCACTGTACGAACTCGACTGAGCTGCCCTTGAGCTTCGTCCGTGGCATCGGAGATCGCTATATTCCAACATGCAATCGTTTTAAAACTACGCGGATACAAGAACCACTCGATTTCCCGTTCAGTCTCACATACCATCAACCCTTTTCAACATAACTTGCATCGATATTCCAGCTCCTAATCCTCAAATAGGCTCAAACCCAAGGCTCACAGTATGACAGGCCATTTTAACGTTACGCCAACTAATATGCCAGGCAAGCCTGAGCCTTTTACCATGCATGTCCCCGAAGAAAAATTGTCCGAGTTTCATGAGCTCCTGAAATTGTCAAAGGTCGGGCCTGCGACATGGTGGAATCGGCACAATGATCGCCGCTTTGGAGTGTCTCACGAGTGGCTAAGCCAGGCGAAAGAAATATGGCTTGAGACGTTTGACTGGCGCCAACAAGAGGCGAGGATCAATAAATTCCCCAACTTCAAGATCACTGTCGATGACCCGGAGTCTGGGGAAATTGAGATGCACTTTTTGGCTCTGTTTTCCTCGAAGATGGACGCCATACCGTTCATTTTTCTACATGGGTTCCCGGGTTCTGTTTTCGAGCTTTTACCCATGATGGAGCTGCTTCTCGACAAGTACACACCCGCAACTCTTCCATACCACGTCATTGTGCCATCGCTACCAAATTATGGACTATCTGGCAGTCCTAATAAGAACGTCGAGATGACTTTGGACCAGGCTGCACGCATCATGCACCAGTTGATGATTGACCTTGGGTTCGGCGAGGGATACGTTGCTCAGGGCGGTGATCTTGGCAGTATGTTGGCAAGGATTATGTCAATGAAATACAAAGAGTGTAAAGCTTTACACGGTAAGCCTTGCTTGAGAAGCACATGGGAAGAGGAGGTATATCTAACGGACTATAGTCAATATGCTAACACTGAATCCGGGAGAAACTGCACCTTCGTCCGATAGTGTGTCTGCTGAGGAGCTACAGGAAATGAAGCGAACCGAAACCTGGGCTCAAACTGGCTTGGCATTTGCACTTGAGCATGGAACCCGCCCTGCTACTGTTGGGCTGGCTATTGCTTCCAATCCGCTCTCTTTGCTCGCTTGGTGATTGGTTCCATTAATCAACTTTATACGTTTTGCTAACAGGATACTAGGATTGGCGAGAAGTTCCTCGAGTGGGTCGACCAACGAGAACCGCTGCCTCTCGATACCATATTGGCTATGACAAGCTTCTACTGGTTCACGGATACTTTTCCTCGCAGCCTATACCACGCACAGGTCCTACAAACGCTGCTCAAAGGAAATCCTATCCCGATATCGAAAGAAAAACCACTTGGGTATTCGCAATTCCCGCGTGATCTTGCTTTGCTTCCCAAAGCCTGGGCTTATCAACTTTACCCGAATTTAGTATTCTTTAAAGCACATGAGATGGTAAGATTTACAAAATCACTTGTATTTCACAGCGATCGCTTATCAACGTACATAGGGAGGGCATTTTGCAAGGCTGGAGCAACCAGTGTTATTCTTAGACGACATCGAGGACTTTTCCAAATGTATTCACAGTATCTTTAATTAGGTATTACGGATCTCTATAGGGAATTCTACGCTGTTATAAATCGACTGTTGAGTTGGGATACTTGGTCCATAAAGTAAACGGTTTGAGTTAGGTGCACCTAAATTATCTAAGTTTCTATCAAATTAGGAGATAAACCCTTTTGCCTTGGCTTCTAGAACACCGTTGTACCATATTTTGGCCATTTTATGATATCCCTGATCATTTGGATGGGTCCCATCGCTTATGTCGTTCTCTTTTGGCCCCAATTGACTGTGCATATCGACAAAGACGATCCTCTTTCCTTCGCTCTGCTTCAAGAGTGCTATGCCCTGAAATTGATCGTTGGCCCATCTTATGCGTGACTCAACCTCAGTGTCGAGGTTTAGTATCAGGTTAGATAGGATTACAGTTGAATTTGGAGCTACAGCCCAAATAACATCAAGCATATTGCCCATTCGCTTACCAATACGTCCAATATCGAAGCCCTGGATGCAGTCGTTGGAGCCTGCATTGATCGTAATAAGATTCGGCATGAGCTTTTGAACAGAGTTCTTGGCTTTGCTCTCTAGCTGGTCAATTCTAAAGCCCCGCCAACCCTCATGATCATTGTTGCTCATGGAACCAGCCCTTCGCGATCCAAGCATAGTAACATTATTTCCCTCCTCTATAAGCATATCCTGCAGATATTTTCTGTAGCCATTTTTATCAGAGGACTCAACTCCATATGTAATCGAGCCTCCAAGTGGCATCAGACGCATTGTGTGATTGGACGTATTGCTGCTAGGTGCTAATGAGAGTCAGATAACTGCCCTTGTTGTATTAGCTTAGAGAGCGAATGTCAGCAAAATATACCTTGATCAGAGCAATAAGCGCGAAATGGAGCTGGACGATATGCCATAGGCGATGCTATCCGACGGTGTATGATCGATAATCTGACCTTGGCGGAGGCTTGAATGCAATGCCTGTAGGATCTCATGTTGGAGCTGTTGGGGAGAAGACAGCGACGAAATCAACACTTTAAAAGCCCACTGTGTAAGAAAAAAAAAGAGACAAGAACAATTAGATTATCTTGGATAGCTTCTTCAAACGCAATAAGCGTAATTCCCCTCTCCCATAACGAACAACGGTTACCACAATGGCATCTTTAGAATGGATGTTGCTCGGACACCCTCCGGATCCAAATGCAACCCCCGCCGCGCCCTATTCATAACAACACTAATCGGCAAGTACCCCAGAGCACTACTCGGCAATTCACCACATCCTCTACTAGATGCGTTCCGCTCTGATTCATCAAGTCTATTTTAATATTGATGCGAACGAAATGAGGCTCCGATACGACGTTATGATTTTTGACATCACTATCTAGCGGGTTAATACATATCTTTGCCCGTCTTTCTGTGCTCAAGTGTGTTCGATGAACCGTCTCCAGTGAACCACCCGCTAAAATGATACTCAGGATACTATTGATGTATTTCGCAGTATTGAAGCTTTCTCAACCGTAGGGATTTGGCTAAATGCTCCCCCTGAGCTTAAAAAAACATGTCCGTGTTCAGTTTATAAGAGTTTAATACCGAGCAACAACTTATCATCTGCTTACTTGTAATCCTAGGCTCGACTTAGCGGTGTAAACTGTAGAAATGGCGGGAATAGCGCCCTTAGAGGCACTAAGAATTAGCTCTGGCTCATGGCTTGAGCCGTGGTTAATCTTATTGGATGCCCGCTGCTATACTGTCGCCACGCATTTTGAATGACCTCAAGAGTTCAAAGTATGCAGTAAGAAAGGGGCAGTTATCACTATGCCTAGAACCGAAATGAATGTAACTGGCGTATGTCGAGGCGGTCTACGCTGGTAGCTAGCCGTGCTGATAATTAAAGCCATCCACTGTCTCCAGTATCTCATTAATGGGAAAACGAGGCATAGGCTGTCTAAAGGCACATTGGAACGTCGCTAGCTGAGACGAATATCGGAGCTTTTTTTTTTTAACTTATAAGAAAGTAAAAGGCAGAAGAGCGATCTGAAGTCCGCAGTTGCGGGTACATCCATGAGCTGTGCTGGGGAATATTGTCGAAAACATGACATTCCGCGCGCAATTCTTTTTGTTTCAAATAGATCCTAGGTGGACGGAGTGGCCAGAGTATATAGCCAACCAATGAACTACAGCCCGCAGTGCGCTATCCAAAGTATTCTTTTACGAAGGGAAAATTTACATTCTCGGCATCGAAGCGAAATCGCATCATGGGCGCTATGGCAATGTGGCGGGCTCCATCCAGCCAACCCTAATAAGAGCAAATACCTTTGTCATGCTAATGAACCATTTATTCCGGTGTTCAAGGTGCCATGTTTTGACAGCTCTAAGCGTTGTGCAGGTGCGAAGGAGAAACAGAGGCTCGCTATGGATCAACGCAATAGTGTAATAGGAGGTACCACATATACTCTAAAAGTCTACTTCCGATCCTCCTTTATTAGATCTGCCGCTTTTTCTGCAACCGCATAAACGGTCGTCATGATATTACCTACTGGTATGAGCGGGAATACGCTGGCGTCAACAATTCTCAAGTTCCTAGTGCCATAAACCAAGAGGCGATTGTTGACCACGCCACCCTCGTCGCGTGGCAGCATGGGGCATGTTCCACATAGATGCATGTTGGAAATAACACGCTCCCCGACGATCTTCTTAGCTTTCTCAAGTGTACTTGGTATCGTTTCTGGAAGACGTTTGCCGTTTGGTTGAGCAAGAATAGTTGAGCCTAAAGGTTCAGTGGCCATAAGTTGCTCCGCAAACATTACACTTCTGCTCAAGATTTCCACATCTACCGGGTGTTTAAAATATCCCGGATCAATTGTAGGGGCGATACCAATGTTTTGCGAAGTAATATGGCAGGTGCCCCGTGAGAACGGGTGTCCGAGTGCATTAAGTATCGTGAAATAGTTCTCTGGCTTGGCTGGTGCAGTATAGTTCGAAAAGTTTGTAAGATCTTCAATGTCCGTGTTGATTTGGCATGGGAAAGTAACATATGATAAAGCGGGAGCGCCAGCTTCCATCAAGAGCTCTTTAAGTACCATGTTCCGATCTGATGAATCGGTCACGAATTCATCGAGTAAGGTTTTCTTGGATTCCGCGGATAAGAGACCATTCTCGTCAACAATGGGCAGATATGAAGTACTAGAAGCGTTGGTGCCTAGTGGACCATTTCCGTTGATACGGTATTGGGCGATAGCAGCACCAACAAGCTCCTGATCCCGAAACATATCGATCGATGGAATACCATCCTTCACTTCGTAGCTTTGACACACTTGAGCATGGTCTTGTAAATTCTCTCCAACTCCGGGAATATCGAGAATAACATCGATCTCCAATGCATCGAGTAACTTGCGTCCGCCAACGCCCGAAACTTCTAGAATTTGAGGTGATTGAATTGCGCCAGCAGCAAGAATAACTTCTCGCTGAGCTTTCACAGTGCTGATGGACCCGTCCTTTCCGCGTATGTGGATTCCCGTCGCAACAACGTCTGGCTCTTGGCCTAAAAAAATAATTTTTTGCACAATGGCCTCCGTGAGAACCGTCAAGTTTGATCTTTTTCTGGTCTGGGAATCATAATATGCTGAAGCTGCGTAGCTGCGTGTCTTAGTGGTTGGATCGATGCTTGCGGCATTCTGGAATGCGCCGGTTACGCTCCCTGATATCGGATCATTTGTCTCTTTTAAGCCCAATGACGTGTGTGCATCCATCCACGCAGTGTTGGTATTGCCAAACCCTTGACCGTAAGACATTTGGATAGGTCCATAGCCTGAAAGATTGTCATCTAGGCTCTTCATACGAGTGATTGCACGTATCTCGTCGGTTGGGGCATGTCTTGTGCCAAACTTCTGGTAATAGGGTGCGAGATCTTGGTATGACCATCCTGGGTTACCCAGTTTAAGCCACGCGTCGATTGATGCCGCTGTAGGATATACCGTATGCATGAAATTAATGGCTGAACTTCCACCAAGACCTTTGCCTCGAGCTAAGCTAAGAGCCCTGTTGTTTAGGCCGGGCTGTAAATACCGGGCACATAATCAGCATGTGTGTTTCCCAAAGCCGCAGATTGCACGGGCAACAGTCATAATTTAATTCATTATTGAGAAGTGACAAATTTGAAGTAGAAAGACATTAGGTACCTGAGGTGTCGAGATGAATTTCCAATCGTAGCTGTCGTTACCACATAGCAAAGCGAGGAATCCGGGAGTTGACACAAGTGGATCATCTCGATGATCTTTTCCGGCTTCAATGACCAGGACAGTGGCACGAAGGTCTTCACTCAGACGAGATGCTACAACCAAGCCAGCTGTGCCACCTCCAACGATAATGTAGTCGTATGCATCAAGCAAGTTTCCAGATGACATGTTGTCTTATTTAGATGACTCTGTCTCTCGCAAGAATTCTCAAGTATTTAGCTCGGATGGGTTGAAAGTGAAACCCTCATCGTGCATTGAAGTGGTCGGTTTGCTCTTATATAGTGTAGCACATTGCCTTGGTCTCTTCCAATTCTGCAATTAATACAAGATCATTTGATCAGAGCCCAATATTGGGCGTATTTTTGTGGATATAGGTGAGCAGTAGCAATACAATCAGACATATTAACTCAAATCAACACCATATCGCACCAGTGGCGTTATTACGCACGACGCTCAGACCAATGAAAGCCGCCAACATCATCTATGTAGTAGAGTACGTATTTACCACGAATGAACTTGGTGGAGATTCTCTGTTGCCTGACATAGTCATTGGCCAGGCTCTCGGTGATGCTGACGTAGGTAGTGACGAATTGCATTTTCACTACAGTAGCAACGCATCCAATAACTGCAGTAAATAAAGACCTATTTTGTTAGTGCCTGATATATGATGATATTCATATTGGCGAGGTATGTTCATCAAGGCTGGATTGAAGCTGCGAAATCCGAGCGAGACCCGAGGGCTGCTGATTTCAGCTGCAGGTGAACGACTAACTATGCCTGTAGGTAGCTTAGGGGATACACAGCTTGCAGAATAAGACAAATTAAAAGGAAGCATATTAGTAGGGTTAAACGATAACGGCGCTATTAATAGCTGTCTCAAAATCACACGGCGATTCTACTTTATTATTACGTACTTATATGCACGTAAGCTGAGATTAGCCACCCATAACGATGTATGCCCAACTTTCAAGTTTGTTCCTCCAAGCCCAAACGGTTTGCGAAGTCCATGCCATGCTTGCTTAAGCGAATATACATGAATGAAAGACAGACCTAAACTGGGCTCAGGTGTTACATCTGCACAAAGAGCTAATATCACTGTGATGGTGGGTAAGAGTAGGTCTTACCACATAAATTTACAGGGTTTATACCGACCTCTATCCTGGCTCTAGCGGGGCATATAAAACAAAAAGAATGAGATATGGCGCCAGTTTTTGGAGGTCGATATTCGATATTATGTGAAGAAAGACCTCAAATTGAGATACGGTGTGACAGCCTTGAAAACGGATGCAAGACCATTTGTGTCATTGGCTGATGGGATCTCACACTGCATCAACCATCAATCACTTAGACCTAGGCGGATGTTATCACAAACAGAATTATTGTGTTAGACAAGAGCGGGCATCCTAGTGAATTTCCGTGATGTTATTTGGAGGTAGGTTGTATTATAAATATGATGCCCTGATGGCTACTCTTTCACTCAACTATTTTCTTCCAGCTTGCACGAATACATATGTACTTCCTAGGATCAATATATTCTGAGCGACAATGTTATAAAGGAATCTGCTGCCAATCAATATATGCAATTGTGACCGAATTCAATACATTACAATTTCAATATGTTCCAAAGTCCAAGTGCAAAATAGGGATACAAAGAGCCTGGCCAAAGGGGCTACGTGCATAAGGGTGAGTGTTCAGGGAAGTTGATATGATGTCTTGGGAGATAAATAAGCTTGATAAAAACATGATCAGTATCTGGAAGCCAGCTGCCACGGCTGAATTCATGATTCTGTGCTGGTCTCGATGGAGGCTTTAAAGTATCCGTACCTAAAACATGAACGGTAAACAAGTGGGTAGAGTTCACTATTTGCATTATTTGTATACATTATGTTTTCAAGGGGGCATAAAACTAACAAATGCTGCAATTAAAATAATTTAACCACCTGCCTAACTATTTTGTAGGCTTACACTTTTAACTACCGTTTATACCAAGTATCTATAAACCATGCATCTCAGAAGTTCGACATGTCACAGATTAAGGTTGTAATCCGTGTTTTGATTTACGAAAGGCAATTTATGATAGGCTATAAGTCGCTTCGTATTTTCTAGCACCTGTCAATTGTAAAGTAATTCAGATGACAACTGTCCATAATTGTATGTATGAGCGGATCCTTTAGCCAGAATCAGCAGGTGTATTGTAAATGAGAAAGTGTTCGTGGATCTACTCGTATTGATAGCTAACGTAAGATTGGATAATCCCTCCACCGCCAGTTGAAGAAGTTGACAAGGCAAAAAATACCCATAAACTAAGATATAAATAAGGTTGTCAAGACTCACCACGAAACTCACAACTCGGCAAGCAAAATCGCTACTCGTTTATTCACCCTTCAATTTTTCGAGAGACCTTTGACGCCATAGTTCATATATCATAATGCGTCCTTTTGTTGTACTCGCAATTGCCGTCCTGCAGGCCGCAGGTGTCTTCGCAGAGACAATCCCACCTGGCTGTTTCGGCAATTGCAACAATCACATTATTGGCTGTTGTATTGGTGATGCCTTTAATTGCCAAATTCTTGCTAATTGCTTCTCCAATTCCATCTCAAATCAGTGTGATAATCCCTCGGATGCTTGTTCACACGTAAGTGTTCCTGAATCTACAGAGTTCGCGATATGACTAACGGTCTGAAGTACTGCAATTCCGGTGCAGCCGCATGCCTTGCTGCCAATTAGAAAGGGTGACAGAAGCAAGATCGAATATAAGACTAGTTATACTGCTCTTATACCCGCTCTTGTAAACATCTACTCTGCCTTGGGAAACCTATTGGAGGAGATTTTACGTATAGCATGTTTCATACATTCTTGTACACTGGAATGCAATAAACTTACATAAATCCTGTGGCACCGTAGAGGTACTATGAACCGGTTGATCAGTGATTCCATGATCATACAAACTTCCAACACTCCTGGGTATAAAATCCCAGGACTGTGATGCGAACATTCATGGTGAATACAAGCGAGAGAAATGAGTAAGATGTGATATGGAAAACGGCTTATAGCTCGAATTATTCTTCAATAACTAGTACTGCTGTGTTAGCTCAATAGTTTCCGGACATTGGTGGAAGATACAAGACCTATACTCCCCCGTTTCCTCCGTCTCAAACACACACTCCCAACAGCCTGATACATGTCTTTAGATTAACACAATTGTATTGCATTTGCTTTGTAAATATGGCATGTAGCTAATGCTGGACCTGAAAATGCGAGCTCTTAATGAAGTTGGAATAATGTACTTTTGTGTCACTAGGTTACTACTTATGTGTAAATAATAAAACAGACAACTAATCAACCAAAATATACTATGTTTGCCTTTTATTCCTTTCATTCAGTTTCACCTTTTTTCTTCTTCTCCTAACATGTTGCTGTTATTAAGTTGTCCCGAATGATGTATTTTCAGAAATACCTTGTCAATAAGTTTCTTGGCTGCCTTTTCGTTGAAAGACAGTATATTTCTGTCATCAAAAGTTCCTTTCCTCTATTCATTATTCATATGTGAAAGATATATAGAGGGTGTTATTTTACGTCAGGTGATGTTATCCAACGCATGAACCACAATCGAGACAGGTTAATAACATGTAAAACTTAGACTAAGTGACGTCAGAAAACACCTAATTACTTTACTCACTGGCGATGATAAATCATTCAGCATAAGTAAAAGCTATATTGACGGTATCACCCTTATAAGAGCGATATAGAGAACTTTTATTTCATATAGAGACCGACTAGTAGCAGCCAAAATTAGAATTGACCGTTAACTATTATGTTCATTGTTGAATTCAGCACTCTTTCATCGTGGTTGGTCGCCTATTCCACACTCCGAGCGCCCCCGTACGGTCACGCTGCTCTAACGTCATTGTGTTCCAATGCCCGAGACATTGACCAGAGGGTGCGACCATACGCAAGAGATGGCGCAACATGGCCATTGATCTAGCGATAATGCCTAGGTCGCACTCAAGGACTGTCAACATGATAATCTTGGCGATAATACCTGTATCACAGGGCCAACCTTTTCATATTTTTATTAATTCCTTCCGTTACCCTCCGTAAGGAACGATTCATCATACAATATCTTTCATTCATCGCAGTTTAAGCACATATATACCTGATACGAAGGATGGTAACCGCCGAGGCTAAAACACCCAGAGACTAAATGCTCATTGTTACAATCTTCAGCTTCCTTGGTAGCTGCACATGGCGGAGCAGAAAACTGGACACCATTGAAGTGCTGATATCAGTAAAGATATTGGCAACCGAAACGAAGTAGGACACATTGAGAATGACTCTCTAACTTGACGTATCATATCTCCCCCATGCCGCTGACACGGGTTTACACTGGAAGATTGTTACAGACTAGGAAATCTACCAGACAATTCATCCTAGAGCGAATATAACCCATAGAATGCGCATGTAACCTTTATTTAGTCCCTTAGCTAGCCGAAAGATGGTCTGGACGATGTTCGATTTATCGAGTGCACCATCCAATACATACAGGGACGACCAAATAATCGTCCACAAGCCCATATGGAACATCATGCCGACCGTAATAACATCGTTGTACGAAACCATAGTGCTATATGAAAGAACCATAACGGCAATACTGTGTTCGAGATTGGCAGTTTGTGAAGTAAAGCCGACTGCTGTTAGCGAACTCAGAGTTGTCTAGCGGGTAGAACGTTGCACCACATACCCAGCCCGCTAGCATTAGCCAATCCTCGACGGAAAACAGCTGAGCGAGACACGAACATAGAACCGCAAGAGCATAACGAACACATAAATGACAGTGAAGATGATACTTACATTCATCAACGCGAGCGCCAGGCCTTCGGGTTGTGTAGGCTCATACACAGTGGTTGTCAGATCTTTAGCCATGGTTGGAATACCGCCAGTGGACCTGCGGTTTTTGTTTCTCACTTTGCGTCTTCTGGACACAAAATAAATGGCTAAAACTGACGGGGAAACGAGTTTACGAATATGACAAAGAAATACAAGTATGTCGACATCAAGCGTTGTGAAAGGGGTTTGCTTCCCAGGGCAACCAGGGCCACCAGACATCTGTTTCGAAGTCTTCAGTGTCTTGTCCAGGGAGGTAAATTTCTGACACGGGCCGTGAATATCTACCCCGCATGATGTGATAGTGGACAAGTGGACAAGTGGACAAGTAACGCAAAGGTCGGTCATAGTAGCACCGCGTCCCAGAAAGATGATGTAATGTTTCTTCCCCTTCTCTCTCTTTTTCTTTTTCTTTACAAATCCCAATTATATATCTCCGGTAGTTATTCAGCATCAAACAATGATTTATATAACCAAATACACGAGTGCGTAAATTGATCATAGCTAACGCTAGTTCCTCGTTAGTTACTGCGGCACTTTGGTACATGATGTCTACCAGAAAGCGGGTTCAAAATCGGGCGATTTAGATTGACCCCACTCCATAGTTCGCCGTTCGCTTCTGGCAACAAGGCAACCAGGCTTGAAGGTTAGAAGCTGCATAGGCTGGGAGTCCAACAAAATACACCGACGTTCTAAGAAACATCAAGTTAACTCAATTGATCCCTCCTCTTCATGAGTAGCACTAAGGAGGTTATTGAGAGAGATGTAGAATGAAAAAGGTTTAGTCCCTATGCTCGGTACTCAGGGTGGGTTGATGACAAGTCGAGTAGCCCTGGAAGTGGCTGTTGCAGATTTGGCGCCGCTTGGCAAGCGAGAGGAAAGTGAAAAAATGAACCTGTGTCAATGTTTGATGTAATTCGTTTCAGTGCGTGGAATCCCACCTGCGAGTAGTACATACTGCGTATCACCACCACCAAGCGTATGCCATCATTTCTTTGCTTGCTTTGCTTGTCTGATTTTTGCTTTACACCGCTATTTTGAGCGTCGAAATAGTCTTTGTGGAGTTTCGTTACGCTGTTGGACGTGATACAGAGGAGTAGAATCCGCCTCTGCTAACGAGACGCTGTCTGCATTGATAGCTACATTGCACACAAGGGCTAACAACCCTGCTGGAAACGAAGTTGATAATAAATACTACTACTTATATGAGCAGGATGAAGTTACGGAGTACAATGTAGATATCGATGAGTTCTGAGGGGTAATCAATAGATGCGTTGGCTATATAAGACGCAAGAGCCCCGCTGCTTTTCAGAATTGAAAATCAGTGCACTTCATATCTACTGTGTCTATGTTCCTTCTATGGTCATTCGGCTCTCGGTCTATGAACTCTATCCTTTCTTCAAAAATTATTAAGCGCACAGAAAGAACACAACGAAAAGATGTCATATACCGCAAGCGAAAAATTCATGTGCACGTCATGGGATGAAGTCGTACGAGCTCCTGGCCGGCCCCAGCTTCCTGAGTACCTAATGGATGGTAAGCGATGTAATGAGGCGCTGGACCGCTATTATGCGGAGCGTAACCCGAGATTCCGCACACTCCTTCACGGCGATACCCACACCGGTAACGTCTACTTTACGTCTAGCGGACGCATCGGTTTCCTTGACTGGTCAGCCTTCCACTTTGGATCCTGCTTCCATGATGTTGTCTATCACATGACAGCCATGCTAAGTGTTGAAGATCGCCGCTCACATGAAATGGAGATCCTGGATCACTACCTCGATGCGCTGCACCGCCTTGGTGGTCACAAGTTTGACCGTCACAATGACCCCGAAGTCATGATCGAATTCCGGCGCTCGTTCATGACCAACGTCATCTGGCTCATCTGTCCCGACGGTTTGCAGAGCAAAGAGCGCGTGGCGGCCTTGTGTGAGCGCACTGTTGCGACTTACGACGACCATAAGGTCCTCGATGTCATTCTTAGCCAGCCCAGGCCGGCAACATCAGAATGATATCAAGGAAACCGCTTTCCTGTCAATGGTGTATATTTTAGAAGTATGAGCAGCGAATGTATTATAGAAAATTAGTCGGCGACTATGTATACTTATTCACCTTCCATGTCTTATTCTCTAGCCTATCGAATGAGGCGTTACCACAGTTCATATCTAGCTGATACGGACCTTATCTGCTCCAAATCCATCCAGTAGATTGCGACGGAGGACCACTTAAACAACTGTTATAGAAGCCTTATTGTTGAGCTTACCTTGGCGAACTTAATTTACCTTGATGTAATGTGGTGCAGTGAGGCTAATTGTAGCCTTGGTATGATCTAGATAGCATTTTCGTATCTGAAAGGCTAGAAGAACGTTTACCATAGTAATGTATACCATTCAAAGTCATATAGTTAGAAACTCGCATTGCAAAAGTCTCCTATTTTAATACGATAGCAAGCTTCAGCGAGAGGGAATAAGCCAACTTAATTCCGACGAGTACTTTGGGCTTCTTTTCATTATGGATGACCAGAATTATCAGGCTTTGTACCTAGGAACCTACCCGAGGCGACCCCCAAGTACCAGGTAAGTCCAGTGAACAAGTACGAACTTCAAGATCTTGGTGTTGTTGCAGGGTATCCCTGACCAATCTGTCTGTGAATCTCGTAGATTGTGTATATATAAGAGGTCCTGCCCGCGACGTTTTGATAGACAATGAAGACCTTTCACCCATACATTATTAGACCCAACTACACATCTCAGCGCGTGGAACAGACAACTATCGAACTATAACAACGCTCCCACTATCATCACAAGTGTCCCTATCTCACCAACCTCGGCCCTCCATTCTTCCCACTCTAGCGAACTCAGTTTACTTGGTTTAACACAGTCGTCAACTAACAGTAGCTTTGTCAACACTCCAGTTTGAGAGAGCGCGTGGACCTTTCGCTCCTTGGTGCAGAGTACAAATTCTGTTCGCCATTCCTCAATGTTATTTGCATTCCACAAAGTTGCATTGTTTGCGAGAGGTACAAGAATGAAACCGCAATTCGGATAGGAAGAAGCCTCAGTGGATATCTCGATCAAAATATTAAGGATCTGAAAAATAAGCACCGTCCTACCCAGTTGATCAGTATGAACTGAGTAGCGACAATCGTTGACAACCGTACTCACCGTCTCCTTGATTCGTTGTAGACCCAATCCGTCCAGGTTACGTCGGGGCCATCGGGGAGGTTCATCTTGGGGATCCCACCAGCCGATAATGCTAGTGCATTGAATACATGCTTCCGTGGTTATCAGAGTAGAGCGCATATTATACGGCGGGAAGATTTGGTTTGCAGCTCGCTTACATTCACTGTGGTGAGAAGGGCGGCTTCGAAGCCGAACCCTAAGCCGTCATTGCTCAATGGCTGTTCTTGGAGGCGCAGCAAACAGTAGACGAGCAGAGATTGGAAAGCAGCCAGGAGTTCCCATTTGTCGAATTCCGCATGCTACCAAGAGTTAATCGCTGGTTCAAATAACAAGAACTGAACTAGTACATACTTTGAAAAATATATTTTCTTGTTCGAGCTTGATCAGCCTCCATACAAGATTCCTGTTTAAATCGGTTCGACTCTTGAATAAATGGACTAGGCCCATGCACGTAAGTAGCGACTGCTCATTAAGAAATGTCAGTAAAAGGAGCTACCGCCCAGAGAGGTGTCTGAGGAGGCTCAGAGCGGACTATGATGATTATATTTTCAAGCTGGAGCCGTCTGACGAGGAAAAGCATTAACTCACCTGTTGTGGCGGCCCTACCCCAGTCCCAATCCAATTTGATTGTAAAGGGCTAATAAACGGAGGCAGCGCAGTCTTTTGGAGCATCATAAAAGGATACGACCGCAATATCCGCATCGCCAACGACACCAGGGGACCTTTTGGCCTAGAAAAAATTCGATGTTCAAAGAGCGAAGGGCCAGATAAGTCCTCCAGTGCCAAGGGAGATACACTATTTTCCCACGCAATGTGTTCTTCATTAAATGGATAAGGTAGACAATGGGTGCTCTGGTGACCAAGTGGAATCTCAAGCTCAAACATATCGGAATCTCTGAGGATAGTATTCCAACTCTCTTCAGTTGACCATCCAAAGTGGGCTGTAGAGTCAGGAGAGGCTTGTGGAAATGTGCTATCTTCCAAGTTTATAGATCGATTGGATACTGTGGAGAGCGTCAGAGATGCTGCACTCCCATGAAGTTCCGACTTCTCTCTCTCTTTGCCGGAGTTAACTGCGATAGCGGCAACATCGCATTCCATACTCCGCTCATGGCAGCGAACGCAGGGTTCGGAAGCAGTATTATTAGGCACGATGCAACGAGTTTTTGCCTGAACGCATGCGGCGCAAGATCGCTTGCGAGATATGTTCGTGTCAGGAAGTTTGGAGCGACAGTAGTAGTAGTGCCGCTTGCATGAGGATTCTGGCAGATAGATATCAATAGGTGTCGGAAATAAGGGACTGCTGCTAGGTTCTTTTCTATGAGTTTTCAGATATTCTCATACCTTGAGCAAATGTTTTCTTGCATAGCGGACAATGACGGCTTGCTTCGTGGGTACTGGAAGGTCTGCGCTTTTGCTCGTTGTACATTTTGATCATTACCGATGGTTCAGTTCACAATCGAGAGATGAAATTCGTCTGGCTCATCTATTCTGCTTGAATTCCGGGGCGTGAGTTGCCCCCTAAAGTCCATTTTCACGGAGTTCCGTGCAATAATTGGCTTATTAATTTTCTTCCATTTGTCAGGCACGGCAAGATTCATCGTTTGCCACATACGGAGTAGTGTCCTTGGTTTCAGTGCTAGCGGGATCAGCAGCCCCTGATAGCACCGTATTGTAATGTGGGCTTTAGACATGTTGGAAGAATTGCGATAATCGTCTACGCAGGGCTTGACGAGTGGGCTCCAAGCTCTCCTTGTCGCTGATGTCAACTACTACATATCAGATGGGCCGTTAAATCATCAGTTTCAACTAAATTACGAGCATTCGCATTGTTTCAAAGTTCTCGTCGTCCAGGTACCTTGTCCAGAACCCTACTATTCAACTAAATTGACGCATCTTTCCAAACCCCACCTCTTGCTTTTCGCATAGACCTAAATAAGAAAAGTGACAAGCCATTGAAAGGCCGTCAAACCGAAATTCTTACAGCGGTCAATGGTCTTTTGTTTTCCACCTCCGCAGCCTCGAACGTATAGAAAATAGGTCTCCTTCCTACATGAATACCCCTAATCTGCAATCACGGCCACCGATGCACAGCGAGGGGTGACGGTGTTCGAAACGGACAGTCTCAGGAGCCGGATGCTTGGTAGAGATCCGCTTATCACGACTCTATTGAAAGGAGCCACCTCATTTGCATAAACGCCTAGCAGTCAAGAAAGCTGCATTGCTGGCGGATAGTCGGCACTACTTCATCACATAGAAAGGCGAGCGAGGCGAAAGAGTGCCTGGTTCCGGCACAAAAGCAAAATCTATCGCGAGCTACTCTCCGCCCCATTATTTTAAATTCACTGTATAATAGTAGCGTATGGCTTGCATATACCATGGCCAAGCCTTAACACTCTTAATCACATAGTTCCGGTGACTCCACCGCTGACCGAAATCCATTGTGCGGTAAGCCAGCGGCTCTTCTCAGAGACTAGCAGTAACGCAGCATCGGCCATATCATTGACTGTCCCAAGTCGCGCCTCAGCTCGCGTCTGTGCCATCAGCCCAATCTGTAACTCAGACGCGGATCCGTCGGATGTAGTCAAGACGCCTTTCGCCAAGTCCGTCATCATTGGTCCCGGGGCAAGACTATTGACGGTGATTCCATGGTTGCGGCCAAGCTAGTACTTGCTATTAGAGAAAGGTTGTCCCGTGAAAATAAGCGGCTTGGTACGGGAGCTCACCTGACCAGCCCAGGACGCCGTAAGGCTATCCTGCGCAGCTTTTGCCGCGGCATAGACTGCGCTGAGTTCAGGACCGAGTTTTGAGACGATGGAGCCAACGTTGATAATACGCCCTCCTCTGGGCATTTTGCCTATTCCAATGACAGCTTGTGTCAGGTAAATGGTGGCAAAGACATTGATCCCGAATTCGGTTTCCAGTATCGCTGGCGTTGCCTCTGTAAGATTCGTTGGGGTTCCGTAGCCAGCATTATTCACTGGATCACAGCAAATTATAAGCCACCTTCGAGTCTCTTTGAAAATTTTCAGGTTGTTGCAAGTACGTACCGAGAATGTCAATATGGTCAGCGTTAAGTCCTTCCAGAGTCTCTTGGACTATCTTCGTCGAAGTGCTAGCTTTTTCCAGCGATCCTTGTACGACGGTTGTTGTGGTTCCGAATTCCCGACTAATGTCGGCTGCCACTTTCTCAGCCCTCGCTTTCGAGCCCTCTGAGACATAGTGAATTGCAACAGCTGCACCGTTTCGGGCAAAAGCTCTAGCGATGGCAGCCCCGATGCCAGTTTCTCTGCCCGATCCAGTGATCAAGGCAGTCTTTCCTGCAAGCGAGAGAGTTTCCGCGGCCATGTTTTGTCGAATCGAGAGAAATGATGTTGACACTGAGTGCATATGATCAACTTGGAGAGGTTTCTACTTGATCTTTATAATTTTTCAAACAGTTGTCAATACTGAACTCTGTATAGCTATGACGTGGAATATATGCTTACCAATTGCCAATACTATTCACGGCTTTCCGTGAACATTGGGGTTCGCCTATTCACACCCCACATGGCGACTGCACTCATTGCTTGCTATTCAAACTCTACTGGGTTAAGTGTCGGAAACATTGAACTATTGCAAACATATATGCTAACTACATATTAAAGCCTTTGGTGGATTCTACGAATAAGTGGTGTATTGCCATAATACTACGTCGCGCATCCCGCTTACTCTTTGAATGGGGAGAATGTTTACTACAACTTTCTTGGATACCTTGCCACTTACTAAGAGGATTACAAGGAAGCCGATAATTGACCTCCGTAGATACATGGAGGAAATTTCCAAGTCGATTTTATATAGTAAATAAATAATTTCATTGTGTAGCCAGTAATAGTATTAAAAGAATTTTTATATTCCAATTTAATTATATTGTAAAAAGTTATACCAGTTCCGCCTACCCTTGTAGGCCCATTGTCGCAACCATAAGAGCCAGAGTTGTAACATCGACTCCTTTCCATCCTTGCCACTGTCGAATACTCAAAGCAAGAGTTCAACGCAACTTAACTTTAAAAATCTTGGGGCAACAGCGATAGGTAGTATAGATTGGTCCAGCACTTTTCCTGCATGTTACTTTGAAATATAAATTCCTTACACTCCAGATATGAGTATACCCGCGTCACCCAACCCTGCGCATCGTCTTCATAGCGGACGTAGCCATTATTTGTTCCAGAACTTACGCTGATACAGTGGTGTGTAACCCCTTCGGCGCTTGGATATGGACATCTATTACTACGGCTAAAACCCCATCCAAGATAGAGTTGGTCTTTGCCAGAAGCTCGGCGTATCTTCCTCTTGCTCTCGTAATCTTCACCCCATAGGGTGCTGGCGCGCGACATATGTACCCATTGAGGGGGATGGGTTCCATAGCGGTCGCTGATGATCCAAGAATCGTTGCCAAGCAGATTATACGATTCGAAGGCGTGGTCTTGAGTGATATCGATATCATGAGGCGGGTATGGTGCTGAATCGAGAAGAGAAAAGTCAAGGGTGGTGCAATTGCTGCTCGGACCTAAGATCTCTAACCCATGGACAAGCGAGATAACGAGAGCTACCACTCCACTATTCCTGAGAGCGCTGAGCGCCATTTTGCAGGGCTGTTCGATATTAATATAACTCCACCACAGAATTCGAATTTGTAGGATTAAATTACCTAAGGGTAGTAGTCTATTTGATGTTCTAGCGATAAATGGTTCGTCTAACTTACAAGTAAATTATGGTTGGCTTGAATGTATAAAAATATAGAGTTAATGGTCTTACTTTGCGGATTCCCCCTTCTTGCTGTAGCTAAGAGAGAAAAGGTCAAAACTGATGAAGGTGTCTGACTCACAAGATAGGTAAAATCACGATATATATATCCATTCCGTAAGATAGAAGCGGCTGTAGTAGCCCTGCGCTGCTTGCCTTGACCTTTTGGCCTAGATAGGACTATAGCTGTAAATAGCTAGGGTCTTGAATAGCACAAACAAACAAACAAGGAGGACCAGATCGCCCTACAAGGACGTAGTCCGATAGTGATGATGGATGACCCGACTCTTCGGAGGCATGAGTTAATTTCTCGAAACTAGGTACTGATGGCGATGACAGATGACCCGAATCTTCGGAAGCATGAGCTAATTTATCGGAACTAATAAGTTGACTTCTTGAGAGTTATGAGCTAGGATTGTGGAAACTGCAGGTTATACTTTCTTTGTAGCAGAGGCTGGGGCGTGGACTTCCTCTGACCTAGCTGTTGCAGCTTTGCGTAACCTCTTGATACTAAATATAACCTCCATTACCGCAATACATTCTTTGTAGTTGTCCCCATTCTCTGGCAATACCACTAAGCGCCGCGTTGAAGTATTGGTATTAGTTGTAGATACTAATCCACCGGGTCATAAGTGTTACTCTTAATTTAATCATGGAGGAGGTTTTAGGTAGCTTGTTGAAACTCCTTTTCAAAGGCCCTTTAGGAAACTTCCTAGATTCCATGTAATGCCCGTATACGTAAAGAATTGAGTGGTTTAATGGGCTAGAGGATGGTTTTCTCTCACTCCAAATGCATCTTCCACCTGCGGTTGGAGCTTGCCCAATAAATGTCTTCCGCTGCCACGTTGCGCACAGTAAGAGATGTCGCTCTTCGAGAAGAGGACATTTCCCTTGCGGTCACGATATAATATATACGTAACATGTTTTGTTGGAGTTTGTTGTCCCGAAGAGCATCAATCATGCACAATTTATGTCGGTTGGAATCTACCTGTGAACTATAATAGCCTATCATGCCGTTACATAAACATTCCGTGATACCACTGAATACACATCCAGATAGATATTCAGACGCCTTATGTATTGCTGTGAGCGGCTGGCTTTAGTGTTTTTGAAACTTGGAATATGTTATTCAACACAATTACAGGCCGCTTGTTGGTTATCGACCTTCTGCATGAACTGTCCGAGTTCTACTCCAAGTTCTTTTCTAAAGCTTCCGTATGTTAACAAATTCCTGACAAAAGGCCGTTCAAAGGAAAAGGGCAGCTGTGATATCAGCGGTCTCACCAAGAGTCTTCAAAGATAATTGTGTTGTTATACTCTAAACGGATAGGTCAGCAAGATAATAGAGTTGCTGACTACAAGATAATAAGCATACCAAATGCATCTCTTCTTAACTTAGAGATATTGGCTTCTCAAAGAGCGTCTCACGAAAATCCAAAAGCTCTAAGGTACGTTATTCCTCTCCACATTTACAGTCTTGGTCGTATAGAATTATCTTGTTTGCACCAAACGGGTTGCATATTACCAAAACGAAAGTGTCTCTACTATGGCTACAATAACCTCATTCTTTAACCCCGATGTGAACGTTGTCTTTTGGAAGACGCTTGTATTTTCCAAAGAATTATGGCCATTCTACAATAGTTCCCCAGAATCCTCTGATGACCTTATATATCGGCAGATCTGTATTGCCACTAGTGAGAGACTTGTGCGGGGACATTTTGGATATTTTAATCAGCAAATGGAGAATAAAGCTAGCGCGGCAGTAAGGCGGTAGAGCAGCCATTAACCAAGTCAGAGACGCTCCTCTGATGCATAGGTACCTAGATTAGCCGTAGCTGGCGCTTCTATAGCTCTACTTTGCGGCATCTGGACAGTGGCTTGCGGTCCTCCTTCTCCAGGTCGAAAAGCCCAACGACAATATTACTGTGGTTCTCAGTAGGATGGTCATATAATGGGATGATCAAAGTAAGGATCAAATGAGTAGCTATAGGATAATGGATAGCCATGTAGATCAAGAAAGTATTACATTGCGTTCAGGTCAGAAACGACCGTTCGCGTATGAGATCTTACCCCAGAAGCCATTTTACTCCACAAAAGCTTTCCATAGCAAAACACCAATAAACGTGTCTTGATAGTACGTCCAGCTGATTGACAAAAGGAAATTATCAATTCCGTTCAGTTACTAAATATAAGCACTTCTGGATGATGTTGGATTGGATCTTGAGCGGTTTCCCCTAAAGCGTTACTGTGGCTGATCAGAGGGTGAAACCTTATCGCCACATTTACATAAGAGGCCAGTCGTTTGCTCGGATCTTGTTGGAAATATACACGGGCATAGCACCGTAGGGCTGTAACTTGCGTCATTCTCACAAGCTGACATCTCTTCAAGCTATCCCATAACCTTTGCTGACTATGGGCATGTCATCATTGCTGACAGTAAGAGAAGAATCACCAACGCTGAACTTTGTTGTAAACAAGGTTTCGTGATGACACTGTGATGTCTGACGTGGATACCGTTAACGGACTCTAGTCTGCATCAGATGCTGATGTGTTCTGTTTTCAAGCTGACACGGCTCCGACTTACACATGAGTGAACAAGAATTTACGCCGCAGTAGTAAGTATATCAGAGAGAGACATCCCCTTCCCCTGGGTCTGGTGAACTATCCCCTTCTCCTACGCCGCCTTAGTCATTTCTTCCACAGTCGAGCCTCTTGAATCATTGATATAATGTGTGGCATTCTTGCTAGCATCTCGGTCGAGCGCTTCCCGCATCGCAGTAGACATAATACCGACAATAGCCATAATGCAATGGTAAACGGGGGCTACAAGAGCACTCAAAACCAAGATGTGGTCGTAAACGGGGAACTTGAAGATCAAAAAAGACAACGAGATCTTTTAACTACGCAACTAGAGGATGGATTAACGGAGATATCTCATAGGGGACCCGATAACGCCCATGTGTGGACTACAGAAGACGCCAGAGTTGGTATGTTGTCACTACTTCCCCTCTCAAGAAGATTCTGCTTCTAAGTAACGCACAAACACAGGTCTCGGTCATGCGCGTCTGTCAATTAACGACTTGTCGATCGACGCCGACCAGCCCATTCATAGCGATGATGGGACAATACATGCGGTTGTCAACGGGGAAGTGTACGACTTTGACAGACTCCGTCAAGTCCTGACCAACCAGCACGGGTACCACTTCAAGAGTCACAGCGACAGCGAGGTGCTGGTCGCCCTGTACAAGGTCCACGGAGCTCCCGACTTCATCGAGCACGTCCGAGGCGAATTCGCTTTCATCTTGTACGATGAGCGCAGGGACACTGTCATTGCCGGGAGGGACCGGTTTGGCATTAAGCCACTCCACTGGACATTTGTCCGCGACGGATTAGGGGAGAAACGCCTGCTGGTGGCATCCGAGGCGAAAGCATTCCTGCCGCTGGGCTGGGAGCCGGAATGGGACGTCGGATCCCTTGTCGATAGTGGATACCTGAACGGCAATAGGACCGTTTTTAAAGATGTCCACAAAGTCCTGCCTGGCTGCTGGTTAGAGATGCATAGCGATGGGACCGTACATCATCACAGATACTGGGACATGGAGTATAACGAAAAGGTGAGGGCAACAATGGTACACGCAAAGCAAGAGAAACGCTCTCTTCTGACACTTTCTCGCAGGATAAGGTTGAAACACGCCAACTTGACGATATCATTTCAGGCGTCCGGGAGCGACTCATCCAGGCCGTTCGGCTCCGATTGCGGGCTGACGTGCCTGTCGGGATCTATTTGTCGGGAGGCATCGACTCTTCCGCCGTGGCGGGAATAGTGGCACACCTCGTCCGAGAAGACGGTGTGTTGGCAGGAACGGAAGATGCAAGCAAGCGGATCCGGTGCTTCACGATACAGTTCCCTAGCGGGTCCGGGTTTGACGAGTCTGGTGCGTCCAGGATTTGCCTTGCTTCACACACACCTTTTACCCCCCTGATCTAACGAGTCTGTAGATATTGCCGATCGAACAGCCGATTGGCTAGGCGTCGATCTCGCTAAAAAGGACATGAACGAAGGCATCTTGGCAGAGTACTTTGCCGATTCCGTTTTCCATAGTGAACTTCCCTGCCACGACCTAGCAGGTGTTGGCAAGTTTGGCTTGTCAATGGAAGCCCGAGAGAACGGATTCAAGGTTGTCTTGTCTGGTGAAGGATCTGACGAGATCTTTGCCGGATATCCCTTTTTTATGGGTGACGTTTTGAACGAACCGGATCTCTCAATGCTCACGTCCCCATTGGCCAAAGATCACAAGACAAGACTTGATCTGTTGAGGATGTCCAACGAGGTCCTTGAAAAGGTGATCAAGTGGTCCGGCTTGTGGCTGCACCGTCCCGGACGAGGCCGATGCCCCTCCGCCGACGATGTCCAGGGCGTAGAGCCAACGCTCTACTTTCAACCGTCCCTAGCCACCTGGGCGCCCTGGGTGTCTCAACGCTGGCCAAACTTGAACTGCCGCGAAACTGTGGCCGCTTCACACGACCCCAAGGTACGCGCCAAGATGGCTAACCGCTGGCATTCGCTGCACACGGCCGAGTACGTGTGGACAAAGTCGGTGCTGCCCAACTTTATACTCAGCACGCTAGGTGACCGCGCCGAGATGGCCCACTCGATTGAGGCCCGGACACCATTCCTCGATCATCACCTCGTCGAGTATGTAAACCAGCTGCCGCCTTCTCTAAAATACGCATACACTCCCGAGACGGAAGACTTTGGCGAGCAAGGACCGTACTGGACGGATGGGACTGCGCCGCAGAAGTTGCTCACGGAGAAGTGGATCTTACGCGAAGCGGCCAAGCCATTCATCACGGAAGAACTGTACAAGCGGAAAAAGCATCCATACTCGGCTCCGTTTAAGTGGCCAAAGGAGGGCCCAATTTATCAGATGTTACGGAAGCTATTGACGAGAGAGGCTGTGGATAAATTGGGTTTCTTGACCTATGAGGTAGTTGAACAGGGGTTCAACAAGGGGTTTGGTGAGGAGGCGGACGCCCGCGCGTTTCGAAACTTGTTAATATACGCTAGCCTGGTGACGATAGGTCAGAGATTTGATGTCAAAAAGGCCAAGTCAAGAGATTGGGCACCGGTGACGGGACATGTCTAAAGGGCATCCCGTGTCTTGCGCCGCGACTTGTTGTTAGCCGCTATTCAACATTTAGACAAACTAGACAGTTCAAGTATGCCTTATGATGACGTTGTGCAGAATGCCCCCTCCTCCGCTGGTATCTCACTTGCGTCTAAGTGCGCCTGAATTGGGACTTTAATATCCTTCAGATCAGCTCCAATTCGCTGTAGCAATAATGGCAGCAAGCTCTTGAAAACTGGCAGCATCAGAAAATTTGTGTTGCAACATGACATTGATCAAAATTTTAACCACTATCGCTCATTGATACATTCTGAGTCACGCTGAAGAAGTTTGAAAGCTCTCTCGGGATTTTCACTTCTCATAATAGACCTTGACTTATCGTGCACGTTCGTAGCGATTCAGTGTCTATCCATCGGAAGGTTAATACTGACATCCATGTGTAAAATTGCCTAGACCTTCTTGCAAGTACACATCCAGCTCCTCGAGTTCGACCTGTTGGTCAAAAGTAACGTTTTTATGAAGGACAAGGACCACACGATACATTCCCTTATTAGCTTTGGCGTAATGCTCGTGTAGCTGAACCGCACATCCATTGACCATGATTGAGGTAGCACCTGCGGGCCCTTTAGTCCCTGACATCACCACAAGACTGCTTCTATCCGACCTATGAGTTATTCTACATAACTTATGAGTTAAAGATAGCTCGGTATACAAGTGAGTTACAAGTGACTTCTTGAAAGAATATTTGAATAGATATATCCTGGTGTGCCATCCACAAAGCTATGTGTATATATAAATATAAAATATCTATTGAGTTATTCAGCATCTACAATGCACTTATGACACCGTTGTATGCAGCCTTTGGTTGGTAATTTGCATCGAAAAGAAGGGGATTCGAAGAGGCTCTCCAGCTATCGACATCGCGAACACCCCAGCTTGTAATACCGACACAATTCGACACTGCAAGGCATCCCTGAACGACCGCGACGTAATCAGAGGAGGGAGCATTAGCAATGTCAAGCTCAGTAAGAGCGACCTCTGGAGCTGCAGCACTCAGTGCCTTAAGAGCAGCAGCGTTCTTAGGTCCTCCACCAGCGCTAAGATGCCCCTGGCTGCCGATTCCGTCAATGGGAATGCCTTGAGAGCGCCATTTCTGGACATATGAGATGAGGCCTTTGGTCTTGGCATAATTCGGGTCATCAAGGTTGTAGTCATTAATGTATAGCTTGGCGGTAGGGTCCTGGAATGATTGTCAGAACTCTGTTTGACTTTATAGTCTGGTGAAAGGGGACGCTTACAGCATTTTTTGCTGCCTGGAAAGCGATGCGAACAAAGTCCTCGCCGAGTACATTATAGAAGACTGACTGGCGCAGAGTTCCATCTTCGTTGAAAATCTCATTGACAACGTCCTATTGCAAAAGTTTGTCAACATTATTACAGTAATCATACAATTTGTTGCTCCAAGTTCTTACCCAGGCGTAAAGCTTTCCCTTATAACGGCCAGCAACGTTGCTAATGTGATTCTGTAAGACTGATGTCAAAGTAGCTTTATCCCTGATACTCGACACCCATGATGGTAGTTGCGAGTGCCACAGGAGATTATGCCCGCGAATCAGCAGGCCATGTTGTTGGGCGTAGTTTACCAGGTAATCTGCTCCAGCAAAGTTGAATTGACCTCGACTAGGTTCAGTGGCATCCCATTTCATGCTATTTTCCGGAGTAACTTGACCAAACTGTCCTGGTACGAATGTCGACATGCCACTTTTGGACAGAGAACCCTGATCAGTGGCAGTGCCCCAGTACTTCTTCCCATGAGCCTTGAGCTTAGAGTTCAGAGATGTTGACTGTCTGTCTTCGATAGGGGAGGCGACACCACTGGCAATAGCAAACGCCAGGGAAAGGAGTGTTGTGTACAACATTATAATTAAATAGAATCTCACAGAAAGTTTAAGTATAAGGAGAAACAGGTCTTGATTCAAAGGATCGATGATTGTTGACCTGTTTCTTAAAATGTAGATAAGACCGGTTATATATACAATAGCAGAATAAATAAATCCACCCCGGGATTCCTAAATCATTAATCTAACGTTTGTATAGAAGCTCGTACACTGAAGATTTATGTAATGTATCCGCTGTATTTATCCAATAACAACCGATCCCCCGTAACATTATGTTTATATAAAGAGTAACATTAGAGCCAATGACCTGCCAAGGCGGCGGTTAATTGTTTAGTAAAGCTTTTTTTGGTCTTCAATATAATGAAAAAAAGTTTTATGAGTTCCTTAGGAAAAATACGAAGACTTTTATTACTACAGTAAATACAAATTATAAAGTACATAGTGTACTTTCAACCCCTATTTTTTACTCCGCGCCCAGCAAACACACCTAAATATACAAAAACAAATGCAGCTAATAGCAATGCCAAAGATAATTAAAAGCCCGAAAAATAAAAAAGAAATTAGGCATAATATGCATAATTTTTAAAGAGACAGAAATAGGCTAAAAGCGCGCGGCTTCCTAAATATTACAATTTTATGCGCCATCTCCCTTTTGGGACGGATTAGGGTCTCAATAACACTCCAGTGAAATGCAAGTAAGATGGGTCGTTTGGTAGGTTGTTCTATGCGGCCCAGTGAGAAAAAAAACATTCCATCCACTAGTCTAGTTGTCATCTTGATCTCGTTATCCAATATCTGTCATTGTTGCCACAAATGTATTCAGTAGGGAATATTATTTCTTGTATTAGCCATTAGTCACGGAAAAGGGGCTGTTGAGCTAATGCCACGTTAATTAAATAATTCGCTCTATCCAAAACCTTTTATGTCACAATCACAGTCAACATTTGTTTCTTTAAGCCTCAGCGGTGCCTGTCAGTTCCTGTCAGTGCCAAGCCCGGAGGGCCAAATGAGGGGAAGATCACGCAAATGCCAGTTAATATCACAAGTACCGTCAGGGATAAAAATTGTTTCCTGGGTAGTTATTGAAGCAATGGATAAAGAAAAATGAGGTTCATGGGTAAATAAAAAGAAGAGCAATTTACTTTCTGCGGTATTGATAGTAATCGAATTGTGCCATTTACAGAAAAAAATTAAAAAGTGATATAAATGTTTAACCTTAGGTATAAAACATCTGACAGGGCTAATTGGAGTCAAATTCCTTTTTACGATATATATCATGTTAATAACTCTGGCTCCAAGCTATATTTTGAAAAAATTGAACTATAGTTTTTCCAAACTAAGAAGTGTATTTGGGCAAATATTTGGGTTGTATATTTTACCCTTGTATATTATATAGCACCCGTCAATAGCAGGACTGCTATTTCAGCAGGGTGAATTTTGCAGCAAACCAGGTTCTATTACTAGGTGTTTGAATTGCCTTCTTGGTTTTTAGTAACGCACACCTGATATAGTTGGAGAATTTGGTGACTACCGAAGGCTAAATTGACTGGCAAAATGGCAAAATCCAGTTGGTGCATTTTCTCATTACTAAGTATTGGCTAGGGAGGTTTCCAGTGCCTTCATTATCCTCTTTGAACTCGAACAATGTAGGCGAGTTAAAATTCAAGCCGCCTCGTAATAATAATAACTAAATGCGAGGCTGGCCCTTCAGGCTAAACAGCAAGTGTTACTACCATACCGTCTTTCAGCGGGTTGACTCCGCTGCTTGTTCGGAGCATGCAAGTTGTAACCCAGGTGAGGGCATTGCGTTGACTATGATTGCTTCTGTGATTATAAATGGTGGAACACAGAGACGCCTGCTTAGGTTGTCTCATCGCCATAACTTTACACCATCGTTAACATCACAAATAAACAAAAGCATAAATCCAGTCGCGCTTGAACCTCGTGTTTCCCATTGCGATACCGGCCGTTCTGATCACTACATAACCCTGTCCCTCCATCCATATCTTTGGTGCCTGAGGTAACGGCGGCTCTCCAGGCTATGACCTTCTTCTCCCTTAAGTAAATTGGCTAAAGGCCACAAATTCTGGAGCCACTTTCGACGCAATTCTTTATCCAGCTTGCGACGGAGCAAGTTCCGGCGGGGGAGTTTCATATGGCAGCTCGGCAAAACAGGGAACCGCCGCCATAACGATGGCTGTTAAGCTTTCCATAACAACTGTCCAGAGACTGAGTTTGGTGTTGATGGGCCACTCGCAAGTACCTGGCTCTTGCCCTAAAGAAGCTTTCTTCCCCTTCTTAGTATTGGATGACTCATGCTTCCTCAAAAGGGTTGGAGGCATACTTGTACATCTAGAACATGACTATTTATGAGGCTCGTTGACTTTACAAGAACGATTCATCCCGGATGCCGCCATACGTCTATGTTGCATCAGATTTGCCGATCCCATTTGCCACCATAATGTCGATAAACCGGTGAGACCTCCGTGTTGACTGCAGGGTATCCCTGACCGATCTGTCTACGCATCTCGTAGGTTGTGTATAGATATAAGAAATCCAACCCCCGAGTTTGTGATTGACAACCAATTCCTTTCACCAATACAATATTGCACCTGACCCACGCATCCCAACACTCTGGGAGTAGCGAACGGCTGACCTGTCGCCATTTCTGATGGAGAAAATATTTTGCAGACGACAGTAAGTACATAACTCAGCATGTTCATAGTGATCAGTATCTTTTATGTAAGTGTTTGATGATGTACGAGGGCGCATTAAGAACCAAGAAACAGCTGACAACTGTGAACTTCATTTGTTTGCAGATATTCTCACTTTAGCGAGCTACTGCATGCCGACCGATTAGTTCATCGCCTTATCCCCGGGGAAAATTGCTCCAGACCACCCATCCGTCCTTGTTGTCGGCTTAACAATGCCGCGCGATCCAGAAGTTTCCGGTGTCATATGTCATATAAATGCAATAGTAACTCTTGTATACTACAGTAGACAAATTTTAATATTTTGCGTCAACAGTCTCTCAAGCATACGTTTTTGATACAGCTATAAATATCTATCAGAGGCAAGTTGTGCGGACAACGGTGGTTAGATAATTACCGATGGCGAAAGACGTTGCTGTGCCTACGTAATAAGCCATTACGCAACTTTCCAGGATTAAATCTAGAAAGATGCTCGGTCTCTGACTTTCCTTTATTTTCCTTTGATAGAATATTGGGTCTGTGAGCCAAGATCCGCTGTGGTAGCGGCGGAAGACGGTAGTTCCACACAGTGAAATGTTCTTCGGAAGTTACTGCCCATCCGAAGCTCCGAGCGAACTTCTTCTTAACTGTTTTAGGACCATCACTAACGCCACAAGATTATGAGAATGAATGCAAATGTATTTCGGCTGCTCCAAATAATACATCACGGTCTGGAAATTAATAAGTTCCGAAACTAATTTACCCGACTGCGAACGACGACAAAACTTGGATAGTATACCTAGCCAGAGGGCATGACTTTCCAGATTTAAATATACAATCTCGAAACATGTCTAGATCATTCTTTATCAACGACCAAGCAGCAAGAGATAACCAAGAGGCTATATCTATCCATCGAATTGCACCTCAATAGTAAGAACTCTTAAGATGAAAGTATTGATAATAGGCGGCGGCGTCGGAGGTCTTTGCTTAGCGCATGGTCTTCTCAAGGCAGGAATAGAAGTGCAGGTGTTTGAGCAACAGGTGAGAGTTATAGACGCGAAGGGTTTTGAGGATGGCTATTGAACTAATAAAATTCTTAGTTGAATAACACTGAGAACTTAGCTGGATATGGAATCCATATCAATCAAGATGGTAGACGTGCATTGCGGGCCTGCCTACCTCTTTCAAACTGGACACAACTCCAGACTATTTTTACACCCGCTGGGGCACAGCTATATTTTCGCGACACGCAGCTACAGCTCTTAGCCGAACGAGATGATGCAGAGCTAAGTGGAAAGTCGATCAAGGAAACAGAGCGGTGTGGTATCGGACGACTGGAGCTTCGCGATGTCTTACTCGAAGGTCTTATCAACAAATCACTTCCGGTTGTCCAGTGGAACAAAGTCTTCATTCGTTATGACCAACTCGAAGGGCATGTTCGCGCCCATTTTTCCGACGGGACCTCTGCTGATGGAGATTTACTTGTTGGTGCTGACGGACCAAACTCGACGGTACGCCATCAATATCTTCCGAATCTGAAACGTTTGGATCTTGGGGTATCCGCTATTGCTGGCCGTTACTTGCTCAATGAGAAGCGAATTGAAAATCTTCCAGCTGAGATAACGGATGGATCACTGAACAACATTGTCCCATATGGGAAAGGTTGGATGTTTAGTTCAGCTTGGAAATCAAGACCCGCTGATGGAAATCATTATTCGGAGGCGGAACATTACGTTGTCTGGGCGTATGTATTGCCAACAGAAGACATTCCTCAAAACGTCGATGGGCTCGACGGAGCGAAGTTGAGAGACCACGTACTTGAGGTTACGAAAGGATGGTCGCTACAGTTACGAAACATGTTGAGCGACTCGGACACGTCCTCTATCAAGTATCTATCTCTACGTTCGATGCCAACTCTACGCCAATGGGATCCCAGTAACGTCACCCTTCTGGGTGATGCTATTCACAATATGACGCCTATGGGCGGTATTGGTGCGAACACTGCACTTCAAGATGCAGAAGTTCTTTCAAAGCATATTACGGACGTTGCGGCTGGTAGATTGACCATAGTTGAAGCAGTTGGCAATTATCAAGGTGAAATGTTGGTTTATGCCAACGAGGCATTGCAGCTGTCTCGGAGAAATGCAGAAACCGCATGCAACGGGAGAGGAATCCGACGCTTTATTTTTCGGGGTCTTCTTCGTGCTGCGCAAGCTTCTCCTGCGATTATGCGTGCGACTATTGGACGAACAGCAGTGAAAGAGTAACAAATATAAGCATGACTAATTAAAATAACTTCTCTTGAGTATAAGAAATAAATTGTTCCACATATACCATTAAGGCATAGACGCCTATAGCTAAATGAAGCCGAACTAGATGCTATTATATTTATCCACTAGCTCAATGCATTCTATTCATATTATAGATACAAAACTCCATCTGCACAATGAATCTTGATTAAATCATCCTTAATTCACTCCAGATTCCCAACACCGTCCACTTTCACCTCCATGCTCCCGTTCGAAGCCTTTCGCCTCTCTGGACATTCTCATGCTTACGCCCGCTAGTGTGCTAAACACAGCCATAAAATCATTATCGGAATCCTGACTAATGTTGTAAGCTAGTAGTCCAGCGTCTCCTGCAGCTTCAGTCACCCCCAAGGCGAAGCGATAGCATTACCAGCATATATTGTTCAAAGTAATGTGAGGCTGAGAGATATCGCCGCGTCCCGAAGCCTCTGTTATACAGTAGCTGTGTTTCTACCAACTCCGTAGGATCCATTACGGAAGATATTTGTGTTGGCTGATGATGTTGAAGGTTTCCCGCGATAGCATATCATCATCTTCACTGGGTCAAAATCATCTTGCCTGCTCGGGCTCCGGCATGTCGAGATCATTGAAAGGCTTTCTTCTCGGTCTTTCCTGTTATTGGACCGAAATTTCGCTACTCTGAATTAGAAAAGGACGTATTGAGAGACGTCAACACCGCCTGCAATGGAAACGTTTGAAGCCGAGTTGGCTAAAGCAACAAACCTGAACAACGGGGACTTGCTAGGTGCTATTGCTATAGTCATTGACAACAACGGTGAGATAGATAACTTTTTTACCAGTGGAGAAATGCGTTTGAAGGTATATACAGAGTATATGTAATTCATACTGCGGGTCATGAGCAGGAAACTTCTTATACCGACATGCCGCTGGACGCCAGTTACTTGATACTGACTCGCCACCGTTGGATCCTGATTGCATTATATCGCTCACCTCGGCAGGCAAGTTCATCACAATATCGCGGCCTTGCAATTAGTTGAACGCGGTATTTTGATGCTCGACGAGCCAATTAGTAGGCATCTTCCAGAGATTGAGAAATGCCTACTCGTCAAGGAAATGGATGAAGAAATACAGCCACGCTCCCCAATTCGCGGCGTCATGCTGCGTCACCTACTTCTGGGCACGAGTGGTATGGGCACCCCCGATTCATATCAAGAACGGTTCGGCAGCGAGGACAGAGTACCGCCGCCCGACTTTCCCCATGACGCCCATCCATCAGCCAGGAATCAATTTACACACCTCTTCTTTGAGCCCGGTGAGGGCTTCGAGTACGGATGGGGTATCTATTGCGTGCAGCTACTCGTCGAGCGGCTTGGCGGTAAGGATCGGGTTTTCTAGTACGTTGACCACCACATCTTTGGCGCGCTTGGCATGACCGCTTCCACCTACCGACCGGCTCTGGTGCCGCATGTCTGGAGGCGTCTCCTGCAGATGGTAGAGCGTAAGGTGGACACCTCCAAGATGGACGGCAAGGCATACCTCATGGCCCGTGACAAGGACACGTATGGCTTGACCTGCGGTGTATCCGATCTTGCCCGGCTCTTTGGCGATCTTATGTCATCTAATTGCAAGCTGCTACAGCGCCAGGAACACCGTGATTTGTTTTTCACGCCGCAGTTGACTCCCGGTAGCCGTGCACACCAGTCGCTACTGGCCGAAACCACCAATCATGGCTTCCTGCTCCCCCTTGAACAGGACATGTCCCATAAGATATCCTGGGCGTTGACACCACCTCCGGCCATGAACTGGACCGCCGCGGGTGCACTAGTTGAAGAGGACGGTACCCTCCTAGGCTCAGGTATCCCCAAAGGAACTGTCGCATTTGAAGGGCAGCCCAATATCATCTGGACCATGAACCGCGAAGAGGGACACATGATGCTTTGTTTAACACAATTACTACCTGGCTACGATGTGAAAGCACATAATCTGGCGGTTCAATTTTTGTATGACGCTTGGAAGACATTTGGCTAGGTTGTGATAAGCCGGGTTCCAAAAGTAATATGTATAACCTGACTTATATAAAGTTAATAAATGTTATTTCCAGATAGCAGTAATATATTGTTTTTTCCCATTCATATTACAGCCCATAGTATTGTGTAAGGATTTTCCATACACTGAGACTCTCATACATAACTCTAATCGCGTGCGAGCTAAATCTCTAGCAACTGTTGCAAAATAAGGTAGCGTCTTCTAGTCCCACCCGATTTTAGTGGTTCTCCCAATGTTTTGTATATTGGAAGAACTTGCAGTGGAAGAGGAGGACGATTTGGCGCTTTTATGGGATATGTGCGTAATTTGAACTATATCGAAACCCTATCTATGATTGAAGCGTTAATTGAGTATTCCCAAGTTTATGCGGATGTAATTGAGATCAAACGTATGTAGGCGATTCTATTATTATCCATTGCTACGCTCCCATGGAGATGTCGATAATGGAAGGTAAAGTATTCTTGTTGTAGGATGCATGCCATTTGCATGTGCCATTTGTCTTTATGTTTGAACTTACATGGATGCCTCGTGCATCTTGCTTCTCCGATTTTGTTATCACCCAGCATCTGCTCTTGGTCTGGGCATGTATGGTCTAAGCGATGCCAAGGCGGCTTCGGATCAATCCAAGTGTTTCCCCCATATTCGTCCTTCCTATTCCGGACAAATATCTACGATCGACAAGGGTCAAGCACGCAATCCATACGAGTATCAAAGAATCTCGTCAGTAGAAATCGCCGGCCACCATTCGATCCAATGGGGCGTTCGGCAAGTGCGGATCGCCAGCCGCCGATGCCTCCCCTCCTTCCTATTACCTGTGTAAATAATCCAGACCTTTTGTAGCTCATACCGCGGCTATATATGGTATTTGGATCTGTTACTAGGCTTGTCTTTATGCGAGCGTGCGAGTTAATTTATAACTCCTTGCTGAGCAATCAATTACGAAATCAGCCGTGCGGCGGGTGTGATGTAAAGGCATTGAGCTTAGCCGTATGCTTATTCTAGAACTTCAAATAAATGGCGGTTACCGTGATTTTGATAGGCTTTCTATTGCTGCAATGAAGCTCTAGATACTACACCGCTGTCTCTTTATTCTTACCACCTTCTGTATCCGATGGCCAAATGAAGAAAGATACTAACACCTCTTTGAGAATAACTTTGGGGCCGGGCATATAGTTATCCCATTAAAGTGTGTTTATGCAATTAACCTGTTTCCGGTACTGCTTGGATACAGGAACGACGGGGGTATCCTCTCCCGGGAAAGCCTTGGTGAGTTTGCCCAAGAGGTTGATGATTATATCATTTGTCTGCATGGTCGGTACCCCACCCTTCCAAGCTTGTATAAAATTTAAACCGTGTGCTCTGGCAACTTGCCTCTGAATGAGAGTACGGATTAAACCCGAGCTTCTACTTTCTTTGAGTGGAACAAGTAGGTTGAAAGATGCGTCTATTAGTGGTTTTAAGCAACAGCGCGGCCGTAGCTCTAGCAGCCTCACCACGAGCTATACAACATGTCTCGAGGGCTGAGAAAGTTGAGCCATGCGCCGAAGTCAGTAACTTATGGGGCGCTCAGATTTCAAGTACCGGTGAGTCTTCCGAGCACACTGAATGAAGATATCAAGTTCTGCTGACACCGCCGCGCTTGCCAGCCTTACCGAGTGTGCCCGCATCTCTTGCTTATGCCTGCCTGAATACAATTCCCCTGCATAAAGACGCTGGCATCGAGTTGATTGACTCTTTGGAGCCGTATCTCGAGTGGCAGACGGACGCGGCCTACAAGGCAGACCCGCCTGCCGATTACTTCTACCCGCCCCACGACATTTTCAAGGCACTTGCCGGCGTGAGGGCGGATCTTGTGGCGGACAAGTATACCAACGAATACGAGTTCCAGGTGGATCTTTATGCTCGAGTATTTGCTCCAGCGCACGATGGACACTTCGTCTTTTATCCAGATGCGCTGACCATTGCGTTTGAATGGACACGCGCGAAGCCCATCGTGTCAATCAGTGAAAATGGACGGGATTTGCCCGTGATTAAGCTCTATGGTGAGTCCCAGGAGTTAGGCTTCTTATGCTGTTGATATGTCTCCTGGATACAACGTCATGGACAATAGCTGATACAAAAAAAAAAAAAAGAGGATGTTGCTAGGGACCCAAAGACAGCGCCTATAATCACAAAGATCAATGGCATCGAGGCTTCAAAATACGTCCTTGACACCATCGCAGTGGCCTCCTTCAACCAGGATATAGATGCCGCTTACAACTCCATGTTTTATACGAAAGGGTTCGCAGCGGCCACGGGCACTCAAGGATACTTTTCAAGCGGCGGCCGCATCCGATATCTTTACCAGGGCCCAGAGACGACATTTACCTTTGCCAATGGAACAACTGCAACCTTTGAGAACACTGCATCCGTCAAAGCGAATATGACGGGCGTCGTGGACGGCCAGTCCTATTTTGATACCTTTTGCTTTCTGAGTATCGATTTCTTTCGACGCAGTGCTGTACCTGCTCAACCTGCTACTATCGGCGCGAGAGCCCAACCGGGCCAAAACCCCGGATACCCAGTGCCAGTCCTCGCTACTGACGACGGTATTGTGTCTGGCTACTTCCTCGAAGGTGACGGTTTGGACGATGTCGCAGTCATCTCGATCCTCACCTTTGAGCCCCGCTCCCCGCCCCAATTCCAGGCCGTCGTCCAAAACTTCTTTGCGGAAGCGGTAGCCGCCAGAAAATCGAAGCTTGTTATCGACTTCCAGGGCAATCCCGGAGGTTACATAGCGCTGGGCTATGACTTCTACGGCCAACTCTTCCCGCATATCCGAGCGGATGGGTTCTCGCGGTGGAAGCTCAGTCCAGAGTTCGAGACTATCGCCCAGGTCTTTGGTAACGCCACCAAGGGCGTGAATCCTTATACTGAGGCTGATATCGGAAAGATTCAGGCGTATTTGACTTCGGAGAATTGGCGCTTCGACCTGGACAAGGAGGAGAAGCCCTTTACCAGTTTTGCGGACAAGTTTGGACCAAGAGTTTTCCAGGATACAAACTACACGGCTCTCATGCGGTGGAATTGGAGCGATCCTCTGATATCGACTAACTTCACAACCGGATTTGGCCTCGGGATTTCAGGATATGGATCTCGCACAAATCTCGCTCAACCGTTTCTTCCGGAGAATATTATCCTTCTTTATGATGGATCCTGCAGCTCGACTTGTACCTTGGCATCCGAATTCCTGAGAATCAACGCAGGTGTCAAGTCTGTTGCTTTCGGCGGCCGGCCGAAGAAAGGCCCGATCCAGGGAGTCGGCGGAGTGAAGGGTTCGCAAGTATACCAGATCACCGATATCTACCAGCTCGCCGAGCATGGAATAATCCTTGGCACGAGTCCAGCGAATGAAGAGGCATTGCAGAACGTTAACCCCCTCCCGGTCGTCCGGAGCACGGCGGGGTCGGTGAATGTGCGAGACCAGATCCTCCGACCGAACTTGCACGATGGCCTTCCAGCGCAATTTGTCGTCGAGCATGCCGACTGCCGGCTCTATTGGACAGCGCCTATGGTTAATGATATCACCGAGGTCTGGAAGGCTGCTGCCAACGCAGCCTTTAACAATGCCAAGTGTGCAAACGGTGGCATTGCGTACAGGGCTCCGAAGTCTCTTGTCCGGCCCGCTGCGAACCCGAAGTTGCCTATGGATGTTGATTTCGACAAGACAGAGCGCTCAGGGCTGTGGAACGCAAAGTTCCGTCTCCGTACTACAGACTGAAGGTTGGGTTCCCAGGGGAGCAATGGTCTGCGTTTTTATATACGCGACAGTAGTAAACTGAAGAATAAATAACAATAGAGTACTACTAGGAATTAATGAGTATATGTACCTTTTTGTGTCTGATGTTAAATAATTAAATATTATAGCATAGTTAGTGCGTGCTTAAAATATTGTTTTATTTAGCAATTGCAATTAATATTACTCTAAACCCCCTTTTAAACTAATTTATGAATCCCATAGCTTATTATATAAAGTTATAATACTTAATAATATCACAACCTAGCTCTTATAGTCGCGACAATAGGCCCTACGGGGTAATTAGTCTTAGATAAATATTAAACTAACTAACTAATTAAGAACAGATTATTAAATTATTATAATAATTTAATAATCTAAGGATAGATTATTAGAAATCTATAATAATTTATAATAGGATTATTAATACTTAGTAATAATTTAACTTAGTTAACTAAGTATATAACTTTTACTTTTCTATACTTATTTAGAATAGTTAAATAGCTAGTTATAAATACAAAATAATACTTAATTATACTTATAAGTATTATTTATTAATTATATAAATACCTTATTTATTATTCCTTATTAATTACCTACTAGTTTAGCCTAGCTTATTTACTAATATAAACCTAGTATAATATTATAACCTAGATTTTATAGTCGCGATAATAGGCCTATAGGGTAGGATATATTAAATTAACTATAGGCTAATGGATTAATTAAGATTATTATATATTAAAAATAAAAAAGCTAGGAAAGCTAGCTTTTTAAATAGTTTATTATAAAAAAGCTAAAAAAGCTAACTTTTTATTATAATTTAAAATATATAACTAAATATATAAGTTTACTTTATATTACTTATTAAAATACTTAAATAGCTAGTTATTATTATATAGCTATAGTATTTATAATATAATTAAATTAAAACTTAAATATTTATTTCTTATTTATATTAGCTAGTAATAAAATTACTTATTTACTAATTTAATTACTTTACTAATATAAATTATAAAACTATTTTAAGGTTTATTCTTTAGGAATAGCTAACTTATATTAACCTATAGGCCTTAATTTATTATATAATAATAATTTTTATTTAAATAATTACCTTAGACCTATAAGTAATAAAATAATATAATTAATTAAATATAAGGTATTAAGCTTAAAAAATCCCCTAAGGTTTAATAAAAGAATATTATAATAAAGTAATTTATAACTTTAGAAAATATAATATAATAATAAACTACTATTATATAAAACTTTATAAAATAACTTTAAACCTTATATAATTAAAAATTACTATTAGTAATATAATTTATAATAAACTTAATTTTTATAATATAATAATAAAAACTTAAAGAAATTATTAAATTATTATTATTAAAGAAATTTAAAAAAAACTTAAAATAAATTTAAAATCTTTTTATTAATATAAAAAACTACTTTAGTTATTTCTTAATTATTATAGTTAATAATATTATAAAGATTTAAATTATAGGAAATTACTTAATTAAAATTATTAAAAATTAATTTAAACTTTATTTTAAAAATTATAAATAAATTAAAAACCTTAAAAAGTAATATATTATTAATTTATTTATTAATTATATTATTTTTAAATAATAACTTAAGAAACTATATAAAAAAATTAATAAATTTAAGAAAGTTAAAAATATATTTTTTTTAAATTAAATAAATAAAACTTTATATAAAATATACTATTACTTTTATATACTTAATTATTAAAATAAATTTAAATAATAAAGCTTAATATATACTTTATTACTAAAAATTAAAACTTAATATTAAAGATAAATTATATTAAAATAAGTTATTAAAAATTTTTAATAAGTTTTTAAAAAAAGGCTACTTATATTAATAAATAATTATTTAAATAATATAAAAAATATAAATAAAAAAAGAATTTTTAAAAAATAATTTTAAAATACTTTTACTTTAGTAATAATATTAACTAAGGAAAAAAAAGGAATATTATAATATATAATAATAAAAAACTAAAATTTATAAACTTTAGTATTATTAAGGTATAATATAAAAATATTAAATATTATAATTATAATAAAAAAAATATATAAAGAAATATTATTATATACTTAAGAAAAATAATACTAAAAAGTTTATATTTATTTTAAAACTTAAGAAAAACTAAGTTATTAATATTATAAAACTTTTAGTAAATTATAATATATTATATTTTTTAATATATTATAATAATAATTTCTAAATATATTTTAGTAATAAATAAAAATTAAAATAGTTTTTTAAAAAATTTAAAATTTATATATAAACCTTAAATATACTTAAGGAAATTAAAGAAAAAAATATAATAGAAATTAAATAATAATATATTATATTTATAAATAATAATTAATATTAAGAAAGTATAAATTATACTAAAATACTAGTTTAATAAATCCTTAATAATATAAAACTTATAATTATTTAATTATACTTAAATAATAATAAAATAATAAAATAAAATTAATTACTTAATTTTAAAAATAAAAAAAAAGTTATTTATAAATAAAAATAAAATAAAGCTATATATAAATATAATAAGGATTTTTTAAATATTATATCTTTAATATAATATAACTTTTATAAAGGAATAACTTAGGAAAAACTTAATAATTTTAAAAAATAAATATATAATTAATATAAGTTAGTAAAACTTAAAAATATTTATTATTTTTATAAAATAATTATAATAAACTAAGAATATTTTAAAAACTAATATAAACTTAAGGGAATTATTAAAGAAAATAAATACTATAATAAAATAATTTAATAAAAAAAACTTAAGAAATAATAAAAACTTCTTAAATAATAAAGTTAAATTAAATAAATTAATTTAAGTATTATTTATAATTAAACTTAATTACTTAAAAACTAATTTTAATAATATATTAAAATTAATTTAAATAAGTATTTAATTACTAAGGTATTAAAATTAACTTTTTATTATATTAATAATATTTTATTTATAAATTAATATAATAAAGTTAATATTATTAATTATAAGTTTTTATTATATAAATAATATATTATACTTAAACTTTAAGAATAATATAAGGATTATAAATTTATAAAATATAAATAAGAAAAATTTATATTTTATAATAAAAATTATTATAAAAAGTATTAATAATAATATTATACTTTTATATATATTATTTATAAACTAAAATAATAAAAATTTAACTTTATATAATATAATAATAATAAAAAATTATAGGAAATTAATTAAAATAACCTTTAGAAATATTATAAGCTTATTACTAAATATATCCCTTAGCTTAAATATACTTACTTATTAATCCATTAGTTATTTAAGTTTAATAACCTTAGAAACACTAGTAAATAATAAGTATTATAGGCTGTAAACTCGTCTCTGACGTTAGGGTTCGGGTCATATAAAAAAAAAAAACTAACTAAACTACTAACTAAAACTCTTC